AATGGCGGCCACCGGGCCTTACCTAAAAGTAGTCATGACTACATAGCTATTATTCCAACTTCTTCTTTGATTTAATTATATAATTAACTAGCACGTAGTATTGCTAGAATAGGGTCATTATTTTACAAAAGATTTCTTTATCATTTAATTTTTTTTTAATATTCGTTTTTGATGAGTTTATTCTTATTCTTATAACTTAAGCGATAACTCTGGTTGTTTTCAATACATGAGGGTGGGGCGGGTTTAAGGAAGCAAAATTTGAAACTTTTGAGGATTCTCTCTAGGGCGAAAAAAAATCAGCTGGAGTAACTGTAAACTTTCAGAATTTTCGATTCTTCAGCCCATTTTACGGAAAAATAGTTTCGATCGATAAAGGTTTTACAGTACAATCAAAATGTTTTTGAATTTAATATCACATCTGGTTGATTTTATACCGAAGTAACATGACAATCAGACAAAATGCGACTTAATTTGAAATAATTATTGTGTTGGCGAAGTAATACGTGTTACTTCTTAATAACTATAACATCTGTTTGTATATAAAGGTAGAACAAGATGAAATAGTTATTTGTGTAACTAGTGGTGAAAGTGGCACTTTGCTGCACACGAGAGCAATGTTTACGCACGAGCCGCAGGCGAGTGTGGAATGATCTCGAGTGCAGCAAAGGCCTTTTTCACTCGTGTTACACATTATATTTTTCCTACAGTCACTATAAGGCATATAAATAATTAGTCTTTCAAACACTATGCAACACGTTTTTAGGTTCAGCTGGCAACACAAATGGTGCCCTAGAGAAAGTAGTACCCGCGGTCCATATCACTCCGCTATTTTTCCTCGGCAAGAAATGTGCTCCGCGTTTTGAGAATATAGTTCCGTATGTTTTTGTAATTTGAAGTGGTTTCCGCGCCTAAAAAAATGCTTAAAAGGTATTTTCTTGTTTATTAAGATCGTAGGAAGGTTTTAAAAACGTTTAAAAGAAAAGTCCAGAAAGTTCAGAAATACAGAAACTATAAACACGAAATGACAGATTAAATCGTAGTTATAATAGTCAATCAGCTGCTCATAGTATAATTATCTTTAAGTGTTGCCAACCTATTTCCAAGCGTACACGGATTACGTGCATAATGGAGCCACGCTGTTTTGTGTTGTTTTGTTGGAATCCTGATGTGCGGCAAAGTATAAACCGTACGGCAAAGTATAAACCGTACGGCAAAGTATAAATATGCAGCAATTAGCAGCTTTCTGTACTATAAACAGTACAAGGAAGCCAACTTTGTCGGGGGACTGTAGGAAAATATATTTTTTTTCTTACAGTTACCTGACAAAATGGGCTACTTTTCACTGATAATAGCACGCAAATTAGCTAACTGCTGCATTTACCTTTGCCGCACTCATATTTATTTCGCACTCCAGTATTTCAAACCAAACAACTTAAAACAGCTTTATTAGGCACGTAATACGTGTTTGCTTGAAAATAAGTTGGCGACACTTAAAACTACTACGACTACGATCAGCTGTTGCAGCGTTTCCCATTTCCTTCAACGCTTGAATTTAACCGAAAACGTGTTGTTTAGTGTTTGAAATACTATTTATCTCTATGCTTTATAATAGCTGTAGAAAAAAATTAATGTATAACACGAGTGCAAAGTTCCTTTACACGCTAATGTTAAAAGGTTGATATTATAAATTATAGTTTTATGATTTGGTTAACTTGATAATGGCACAACATACGAAAATCATTGTTAATCACACATGCTAGAATGTACTGCATTTTTGCCCAAGAGAATGTATAAATGTAAGATAATTATTATTATTTCACTCTAGCAGAGCTACGTCAATTATTACGAAATATCTCAGAGACACGAATAAATAATTAATTGTAGCATGGCCTTCACAAGTTCCACTTGTAGAGAAAAACCAGATCTTGCTTGTTGAAATAAAAAACTAAACATATTAGCACACTATGTGGACACTCCTTTTACTAGGTATAATAATTGGTTTTGTATACAGTAGCACAAAATGACTTCTTTCTGCATTGTATGTGTATAGTAAGTAATGTTGTGTCAATACGTAGACAATGTTAATAATCTATGTTTTTGTGTCGTAGAGGGCATTTTCAGGTTTTTCATTTCCTGCTATTTGACTAAAAGGCTATTTGACAGATCACTAAGCCTTTGATATATATTACTTCACCTTGGTGGCTAAGGACTCATTTACATATGAAGACTTCCACCTGGTCCCATCCGTGTACCTGTAGCCTGTCAAGAACAGTTGTCTGTTTTGTCTGTCTGGTTAGTCTGGTGTCTGTTAGTCTACCTCTGAAGACCATGTCCTGAGTAACCTGCTACACGGTGTCCTCATCGGAATGGGCAACTTTTCCTCTTCCTGACCCAGGCAGGGTCTACTGTTTACTAATGTATTAAAGGTATTCGAGAACTACGTGAAGAGTTGTCCTTGATTGAAACAGAATACTTTGATATAATTCTTGTCAACATTTGTTGTAATTGTATGCATTTAGACGAAAAATCTCGACTAAGGTAGTATTCCTCACTGTACACACAAAGATAAAATAATATTTGTAGAAACATGTGCATACTCTATAGACACATAATATGTCAAGTTCAGGACAACTTTCAGGAAGTATATCTGTTATAATAGCGGATTTTCTCAAATTATTGAGTTATGACTCCCGTAGTTACCTACTGTAGTGGCTGCAGGAAATTCTACGTTTTGAGGATCATATATGAGATAAAACCCATAAAACTCCGTTCACATAATCTGATTATGCTGGTTCACGAACTCGTTCCGATAACTGTAGGTTTACACGTAGACCAAATTTGATCAAAATTGGACCATCTTTACAGTATTTATCGTGCCAACGGACACATTTCTACATACGAAACGGACACATTTCTATATACGAAACGGACTCAAATCTATATATGAAACGGACACAATATGAATAACGGATATAATTATATTTATAATATATGCATACATATGACTTCTAACGGGTGGTGTTTTTGGCCAATGGAGACATCGACACGAAAAAATAAATCGGTCTAGTTTTTACCACGATACCTACGGTAATAGCTTATTATTCCATGGGGAATTTGCTAAACCTCTTTTAGTGACAAAAAACCTCCACGCGAGAAAATGATTGCGTCAAAATGAACCCCCCTGACATTATTTGCGTACTTGGCTATCAATTCGTGAAATTTGTATTCTTGTCAAAGCATAGAGTGTTTACATCAATAAAAGATAGAAATACACTGGACCACCTGGTTGACGGCTTGACATTCCAACCCAGTCCTGATAAGGCAATTTAGGCCTAGGTGGCGTACGAGGTAACTTCACTTGCCCGAGCCAGGGAAAAGTGCAAAAACATCTGTAGTGCATTCCAATGTAGCACCCCATGTAGTCATGCATTATATTAAACTCAATATATGCATAGATTAAACTTATTATCCAGTTTAGTCTTGCTTGATCATGATAAGTTGACAATTTTCAGGCAAGTCTTTTTCTGGAATATGTAAAAATCATTTTAATGGTTGCTATTTATATCTTTTATTACAACGTAAAAAAACGATTAAAAATATAAAACGATAATTTCCAAAACTACTGCATATCATCTGGTGTTGTGTGCAGATAATAACATGCGCACTATAATACTATTTCTATAATAAAATAAATCATATTTGGCGGGTTAAAATTAGAAAAATAAAAAATAAAAACAACAAAGTGTTTCCAAGAACAAATCCCATTGGAAAACCATCTTCAGCTGGTCTATGAAGGAAATAAATTAATGCAAATACAAAGTCAACCATAGAGCTTGATTTAACATGATTCAGGGGATGATAAGAAATAAATCGATACCTCAAATGCAATCATATTTGTTGCAGCTTTAAAATTATACCAGGTTTCGTATAATTAATAGCCAAACTCCAGGAAATGTCCAATAGTTGTAATTCTCGTAATTAGATGCAACCTGACGTTTTCAGCCTTATTACAAAATATTTCAGCTATTTAATGTTGGACCTTTCGTGAACTTGATGTCGTTTTAGGGAAATTTAAAAAAACCGGATAAAAGTTAAGTTTATATTTTTGTCATAAAGTCCGTCATTTGTTGTAATTTTAACTATTAAAAAGGAAATGGATGCCATTCAAATTTTTTTCCAAGCTTTTTTTATAACATAAGCATCTATCTACTTACATAATTAAATAAGATCTTTTGAAAAATTATAAAATAAAAAAATCGTATGTAAAAAAAACAAAACTGCGGATGTGTGCTTAATGAATCAATTTTTGATAAACAATTACTCCAATTTTCTCTCTATTTCCACCCATAAAACTATTCCCCGGGGTTTAGTTGTTTACATACCCGACTCCAAGTATAAATAGTTATTGTTTGCCTCTTTCGATCATCATATTTTTACTGTTCTCAAATTTCAAACTAATATTTGATTAAACTACATGTGAAACAACCCTTTTGGTCAATAAGAGGCTACTTTATCGTTCACTTTCCACATGATCTACCATCCATTTAAAAACTAATATAATTTACTAACAAATCTTAGGCTTTTCAATGTTGTACGTTTATGGCTCTGATTTTTCATGACTTAACGATCACTTATCATGTTTTATCTACTATTATTTTTCTTTTTATTGTTGAAATAAAGTTATATTTGTAAAAAAATTGATTTTTCAACTGTTAAGCCTGATGTTTCATACCACAGCTCACCTATGATTACCTTGGTATTTAAAATTCGAACTTTTTATTTTTTCCAATCAGCAAAATCCCCAATTTCCTTCAACTTCATTTCAATCTTATACGTCCTTGAACTTCATTTTGGCCACCGCCCTCGAATTGTTTACTTTTCACTACCGTGTATTACAATTTCTGTTGTATTAGTCTCGCACGAGGTAGCCACACCCCCTGCCCCCCGCCTTGGTACCCCCCAGCCCCCCTGCCATGGTAACCCCTCGTCCCCTGAGGAAGGTCTGAGGCTGGACCGGTCCCTTGGTGTTGGAAGCGGTCAGTGATTCCCTGACCTTCTCTCGGTGAGTAGTCCGTGGATATCTTGTTTCTACCAAGTATGACTACCAGGTATCTGGAAATAACATAATTGCCTTTCATAAGAGATTCGCTTTATTCATTTTTTATGTATTTTCAATAAAAAAGTTTCTCCTAGGTGCAAGAGTTCTTCTATGTGTTCATGAAATGTGATGGTGGTAAAATACGTGGACAATAGAAGTCTTTCATCTTTAGTTGACATATTCACACTGCTACTGAAATAGTTTAATAGCCGGTTTATAAAGGGTGTCAACAAGTAATTATCACAATTTTAGCAATAGGTTTAATGGGTCTAAATATAACTGACATTAAGAATACTTAAAAAAAGAGGTTAACTCTAACTGTTTTGCCTTATTCTGGCCTGACCTGCACAAATCAAAATCGTGATTTTTCAGATATTCATTAAAAGGGGGTTTTTAATTGGTATTGCAATATAAAAGTGTTCCTGGCTAATCAGAGTAAGTTTTCATAGAATAATCGTTCTGTAATTTAAGTAATAAAATTTTAATAGCTAATGACTCTTTAAAATTATATACCATCCTTTAAGTTATCTTCAATAGTTTTCAAAATGTAAAAATAAGGCGCAAACCATGGCGGATTAAACCTGTTAAGCCTATACATTAAACATATTCCTAAATTTTGTGTACTTACTTATGGATTTTATATGGAAATAAAAATAATAGATATATAAAATAGGAGAATATCATAGAGAACATAGAGATGATATATAATCATAAATAGGGTAATATGTATAAATTTGTTTACATACAAATTTGGTAAATCTTTCACTCTTGTAGTATATTTAGCTGTTTGTTGTAAGCAACCAAAAATAGTACGATTATTTAGTAAATATTAATTTTCTTCGTATCACATTTTTAGTTATATAAAACTAAAAAGTGATCCTTATTAAAATATTGCATGGTATTCTAAAATGGTATTACACTATAGTATAATATTATGATTCTAACAGTAGTGCACTCAACGAGAGATTCATTTACAAATTCCTCTTTGAGTAAAACTAGATATGAACTAGATGAATAGAATGACTACTTCGGTATCTAAAGCCATCAACCAAAGTTACGGAACCAGCGTAAACACTTGTGTAGCACGGGAAAATTATATATATTTTTAAATAATCAACCAAGCATAATCTACATTTGTAAACCATTCAAAAATAGTTTATTTAATGATTTTACAAAGTATTTTAAAAGTTAAATCATTGTTGTGTCAGTCTACAACTGGTAAACGGGTGTAATTTAGAGATATTCAGAACATTTAGGACGAGTTACGAAGCTATTATTCTAATCTAAATAAGGATTAACAGGTATTTTGGCTTTAAATATTGTTTTTAGAATATGTCTATTCTGTATATTTAGGTTACCCTTCAGTAATATACTTAGTACGAATCCCAACATTTGTGAATTTAATATTCACTGATTTGATAGAAAGACTTGTCACTATCTTGTCACTCAACGCGCTAACTAACGCTTAAATTACCTTGTAAATTATAGACTCGGCGTGGTTCGGTGTGTTCAGCATCTGGTTTTGGACACTATTTTGTCCGTGGCCCAATGTATTAATATTCATAGAGGTCATCCGAAACGACACAGACGAACTTGATCTCGAAGTTCATGGTGAAATACTGGAATTTTGTTAATTATTTCCTTTCCAAATCATCAGTTCAAAATAATATTTTGAAGAATTTTAAGTTTTCCGATTTTCTAATTTTAAATTACAAAGCATTATAATATCTATGGTGTGATTCTAAGGCCTAATTTATTTTATAAACTGTAAACTACAGTCGTAATTTTCAATTATGTCAAAGTTGGTTGCTACGTTGTCACGTAATCCTGATTTTATTCTTCTGATTTTTGGGTAAATCTGTTAATTCTTAAAAAGTTGATATGAAAAATCCATGTAATTAAAGTAGAAAATCGATACAGAACAAGAGTGTTTATTTCGATATAGCCCTCTTTTACAAACACGATGGATATTGAAAATTAAAGTTAAGAAATATTTTCTGAAATAAAGTTACAATAAGTAAATTATTTAAATATTCGATTAGTTATGTGAAAAAATGTTGTAAAACCTGATGAAATATCCTGGTTTTGTTTTCTGTGAATGAATAAGCATGTGATCTATTATTAGGATCACAATCAATATCTATCCATGTATTGTCATCTAATATTAATTAATGAAGTGAACACCCTAAATAAATGTAGCCTACCATCGACTTTAAAATACAATCTTTAAAATACCCACAAGGGGCTTAGTTTCAAGGATTGGTTCTATTTGATTACATTGGGAAATTAAACTCAATAATACATATAAAATATGTACACAAAAATATCAAATACAGTACTAACTTTCTATAGTTCGGCCGCTTAGAAAGCGACCTCCTCCAGCATTGGTTTAGCATTAGCGGGCATGTCGTTTTCTAAGCGGCCGAACTATAGCTTTTAAAACCATTGAAGTTTTTCAAATATTTTACTCAACATTGCAGCATTAACATTCATAAAATATTCCCGTTCACTTAAAAATAACTCAATTCTTCAATTGACCAAACTTACAAACCCTGCAAATACGTACAGTATTCAGCAGGTGAATTAAAAAATATCATATATTATTGTGGGAAAGCAGTTTTAAGGACCCATTTGTTGAAAATAAAGTACAAACAGTGTACTCTATTTACAGATCAACAACCCAATGCCCTTGACTTTAGTATTATTCAAAACCGGACTGTCAATGTGATTAAATTTCAGTCTCGAGTTGTACAAAAAACTACACAAAGTAGTTTTTTGGACCCTTGGATAACAAAGTATCAACTAGAAAGGACCATAATCTATTATTCTGTTTTCTCACTTTTGAACTTCGATCTATAACTTCTATAATTTATCGATTAACGTTGTTCGTTTTCAATATAAAAACAGTTATGCTATACAAATTTGATGTACGCAGTACGCATCTTTGTAGAATTTGTTAGTTTAAACTGAAAAGAATAGGTCAATAATATGAAAAATAAATTTCATCACACTGGCCAAAAAGTAACTTTTATAATCCTTGGCACTTTTGTGACCACAGTTTCTCCTCCGGCGTCAAACTTGAGTTATTAGCGAATTTCCCTATAGGGAAGTAGCTATTACCGTAGGTGGCACGGTAAGACCTAGACCTGGGACCGATTTATTTTTTCATTTTGATGTCCCCAGAGGCCAAAAACACCATTCGTTCAAATTTTTATATATGTATATATATATATATATATATATATATATATAGATTTATATATATATATATATATATATACGTCCGTGAACGCGATAACTTGAGTAATTTTGGTCCGATTTTGATGAAATTTGGTTTAAGGGTGTAAAGCGAGATAAACTTGAATGAGTTCGCGAACCAGCATGATCGGACCATGGGAACGGGGCTTTAGGGGGGGTTTTATGGGGTAAAAATTGGTTTTTCTCACTTTTGACCCTCAAAACACAAAATTTCCCAATTTCTTTTTAGACCTTTTTAAAGACCTTAAAAAAACAAATAATTTAGTATATAAAAGTATTTTTGTTCGATTATTAGTAACGGAGAAAATTAAAAAAATTGTAAATTTAAAATTCCCATGTTATTCTTATGGAGAATATTGTCAAATGTTGTAATTTGCTTGTTTATGGATATATTTTGATCAAACTTGGCAAATTTATTTATTTTGTACTAAGCTATCAATATTTTACTCAAAAACACACTTTATTAGGTTTCTTGTAGCAGCAAACCTAGGTACTCGTCAAACCTAATGTTATTAAAATATATTTAATTGAAAATCAATTCAGACAAATGGAAATTCGCTTAGTCGGCAGGTTTGCTGCGGCGGGGGTATTTTATAAAGCTATTGCACGTCTTATTAAGGACGTACTATTACGTTACTCTCATTTTAGTCAATCGTATATACTATTAAAATATTTAAATATTTCCGAAATGCTTTGAGCCAAACTCTCTTAAACATGTATTTTTAAGATTCTTAAAATTATTAAATTGATAGTCAAATATGGTTTTAAGCAGTGGTTTGGTTAATTATTTATAGAAAATTTTCACGTTAACTTTTTACTCCATGGAAAAATGTACAAGTTTTAAATTTACTGTATTCGAGTATGTGATGAATTTTCAATGAACATTCCTGTAAAGTTAATTTAATTATTGTTGAGATATTCAGAGAGGCTTAAAATAAACCAGAGATTTGATTTCGTCTATGTCAGTTATATGAAAACAGAAACTTTAAACAGTTTCTGTATTACTGATATTGATATACAATATTATTAATTGTCTGTTCTATTTGCTGTGATAATGAAGACCATATATCAGTTTCGTATCAATATACGCGTTTCATGTATCTATTTATCGATATTTAACCAATTAGCTAGAATTCCCAGAAGACCAATAATGAATTCAATCAATGAAACTGGAGTGATATTAGTAACACTAAAATCAATGGGTTTTGAGTGGTTAGCAGTTTGTAACTCGGTTTTCATTCGTCTCTCAAAAATGTGTGACGATATAACTTTAGTTAGAAATGATTTTAGCGAATTTACTTTACAAGCCATTACTATAGAATATATAATAAGCCATTACTGTAGATCTCATGGTGAGACGTAGACCCGGGACCGAGATATTGGTAAATAAATAAATAAATAATAAAATAAAATAAATTAATATTTATTTTAATAATTATTAAATATATTATATATATATATTATATATTATATTATATATATTATAATAATTATTATAATAATTAATAAATAAAATAAAATAAAAAAATAAATAAATAAATAAATAAATAAAATAAATAAATATATAAAGTATATTTATTTATATGGCTGTTAACAGAAATAACGCAAGTAAAAATCATCAGATTTCGATTAAATTTGGCATTTGTAAGATCGCGAACCAGCATGATCAAACCAGGAAAACTGGGGTTTGGAGACAAAAAATTTGCAATTTCTTCTCTGTTAAGTAAAAGAGTTAATTTAATGTATTAAAGTTATGTGCACTTAGGAGCATAGTTACGGATTGAATTCCAAAGAAAACTGTAAATATGATGTACTTATGTTTTATTTTGTTTATTTTATAGCACTATGTTATTTACATTTCACTGAAAAATACTTGATTTCCTTCCCTATAGCACCAAACCTAAGTAGTAATTAAACTAAATGTTATTTAAATAGAAAATACATGTGAGCCATTTAAGGAATATAATTTTAGTGACCATCAAATAATGTAAATATAAATTTGCCTAGTCTGCAGGTTTACTGCGGCGAGGGTATTAATATAACTAGTTCAGCATACGATCCATGAGACACATTACACGACTATATTCGAACCATGGAATTGAAAAGGTTTTCTGACTTTTGAAATTTGTTACAGTCCTACATGAGAAAATGTCTTTATGTAGGCCAATATTTCGATACACAAGGGGCAAGGGTGTGATTTGAACATTGTACTATTTCATTACATAAAATAGAGATTACAAAAAAATTCGCCTGACATAAAATTGTTTGCAGTTTCTCTGAAAATTCAATTTTCAGTATTTTTTTTTAGCACACAAGTACTGTATTTCAGATACTTGTAGTCAAGTGGAATTGTCTTGAGCATGGTGGATTTTTCGGTGCAAAGCTATGCCTATCTAAAGGAAGAAAATTTCCCTCCTCTTAGCTTTTGTCTCTTGAATAGATTTTAAATTATCGTCCTAGTACTGGCTGGTATTATTGTGAAAACAAAAATAGTTAACATAAAATGTAAATCATTAAAATCCATAAAATTGCCATTCTTTCGAAGGCAATACTGATAGCCGGAGACAATTTAATGTTTTCGATCCGTCCCGTACATATTTTTTCTGTATACATTTCTTGGGCATTTCCCCAAACAAAAATGACACGATAGTTTTACAAACTCATGCTGATATTATAATCGTCAAGCAAACGTTTTACATTTATTGAATAAAAGTGGGTTCTCATCAAACATTAAAGTCAAAATATGTCGCAGTACGAGAAGTCTACTTATATCCAAAGGCATAGTAACTGCATGACAAGTTGCTATGACAACTGTTGTTCCTAGATCGTTGCAGCAATGTGGACACATTGTCATCACCTTGGAGACAATAGACCAAGGTTTATCTGTTGCAAACCGATGCGGTTCTTATTGCATACACATGTTGTACTTGGTTACACATTACTTCCACCTTGACTATGAATACACTGTATTTACATAGATATTCCCGGTTCCGTTCTTTATATTGGATTATTGGGAACTTTTATATTAGTTTTAAAATGTATCATATTCAAGGACAGGTGCAAATAACACAAATTTTAAATTAACATAATAACATACGAGGTGTTAGCCCGTCCTACGTACGGGAATTCAGTAGTCAGTTAAAACCGTGTAAATTCAGATCAGCTAGTTTACACATATAAATACAAAGTTTCTTGCAGTTTTAATGTGAAAAATCATCTTGTAAGAAAATGTTGTGTGACCAAATATGTTTTAATTCCATAGAATAAGAAGTTCCATAGAATAAAGCCTATACGATATGCATTTTAAATGCGATAATTTTACAATAAAACAGCAATTCTGCAATTTTTACGATGTGTAAAGCGTTAAAGTGAGATTTGCAGCCGATTCGCACAGACGCACACTGATTATAAGTAGCCTACAGTAGAGAGAGTAATAGTCAATTGAGAAGTGTATAGACCTAGTCAACGATACCACCTTCCATAGCATACCTGCCTCTTCCATAATTATTATCACCACGATACAACTACTTCACAATTTCCAGTAGGTCTGAATAGAAACGACCTAAAATAAAACGATAGTATCCAATAAAATTCACAGTACACATAATTTAACTTTGGTGTCCTAACATCAAAAACTGCATTAATTGCTTAATAAATAAGCATAAACAAAGAAAAGTAAAAACAATAACAGTTTGTTTTGAAACAGCTGTTTGGTTCAAATAACATTCATTTGAAATAAAGAACTGGTCACATGTAGCAGGAATATAAAAAGTAAACACGCTAGTAAAGCTAATGACGTAATTGTCAATGTTTATTATCCATACCATTATCAGTTCTATCCTTGATAATTGCTCACCCTCATTGAATAAATGTACATCGTAATTTTTCATATTAGTTTATTTAAACTACAATATGTTCATAGTTAAAATAAAAGTGATATTTTCACGATTGGGGGCGCTGATATAGGCGCCCCCAAACGTAACCACAACTGAACACGATTTCATAAAAGGATGGTTTGTCTAATTGCAGTATCCTAGGTAAATGTTGACGTTGTGTTCAATGTATGTCATCCATCCGTTTATCTTTGTATAAAACCCGGCTGAGGTTATGGTGGTAATTTAAAATCGTGATTCCTGATTATTCTTGATCTTCTTTTTATGACATCAATATTTCCGGGCCTAATCCAAACAAAGTTAAAGCATGTTGTCCAAACAAACATTAATTGTAAACAAAAAGCTACCATGAAGAATCAAAATATGTAAACATTGTTATTTTTCTAATCTTTCCTTGAAGAGTGGAGCAGTAAAATAATTCGCATTTATCCTTTTTTATAAAGACTCGTGTACAGAGCCTCGATTTGTACTGTGGTTTAATTAATTTTGGTGAAAACTGTGGTTTAAACTGTAGTGTAATTATCTCTACTAATCTTACTTATTTCCTATAATCAATGACAAAAATAAAATAACCTCATAGTTCCATAGTTTATATTTAACCAGCTGTTAGTTAAAACAAATTATGTTGCTCTAAAACAAATCGAAGATTACAAAGATTGCTTTAAAAAATAATTCGAACATCCTACTATTTTACTATGTATATTTAATTAATCTGTCACCCTCTTACAGAAGAATTGAACGTATCAATGATTAGCATTACACATAGTATAAATAAGTCAACCCTAAGTATGTCTTTACATTTTTATCCAAATGCTGAATTTGTGACACAAAAGCTGAATGTTTACAGCTGTTATGTTAAGCAAATTATTTTATGCCAAAAGCTAGTTTAGAATCTTAGCGTCGGCTGCTAGACTTTTTAAAAATTAAAACTTAATTTCTGAAAAACTGGGACCCTAAACTAAAATTATGGCTTCGACATTCCCTAGTTCTCAAAATTATCTTTCTTTCAACACAAAAATCATGAAAATCCGTCGAGTGGTTGATTCAGAAACGTGAAATAAAAAAACACTGTTTCGTTTTAATATTATAGATGTGCTAAAATATTACCTATTAACGCTTGGCTAGGTAAATTTGCATTAAACGTAAGTGTGGTCAGCTATTTTCCCTCATCCTCGTCTATTGAAAAAGACACAAGGTATCCAAAAGGGTAATAATACACGCCTAATATTTTAATTTTGTGACAAATTTCTATTCCGAAACAGAATAAATCATAAAACTCGAACATTCTCTAATAATTGCTGTTTGTTGTTTGTAAAATAAGGCCTTTCAATTTATGTACAACTGGCTTTTGACGAGGATTTAACTGCTACTCGTGGTAGAGTTAGATCGTCCTCATAATTGACATAATTTCAAACAACTATGTTGATACCTGAAATAATGTGTGGACATTGGGGTTTCTTCTTGAAAAGAGATTGTCAACGTCTAAAATAAAAATAAAGTTATCAACTAAGATTGTGGCTCATGTTTGGCATTTTAGTCCAGGAATTCTTTGTACAAGGTTAGTTAACAATATTATTAATTTGTTCCAGATTATAGCATAGTGGAGCCCCGAAGAACCATGGCTGGCTGTCGGGTTGGCCCAATGCTAGTGCTACAGTTGGTAGTTTTAGCCACCTTGGGCATTGTATCTGCGATTCCTGGCTCGGTGGACTGGGACAACCATGGCTTCGTACATCCTCTACCCATCGCCTACCCGAGCTCCGACAACCCAGGGTGCAGAGAGGACAGTCTCCGACTGGAGGCTGCCTTGTGGAATCGCACACTCTGGGCTGAGCAAAGTAAGTTGGCAACAGTTAAAAAGTTAATATTTACTACCAGATACAAAGCGTGACTAGTGGCTCGAAAATGGGGTTTTGCTAATAAAGCTGCAAATATAATGGCTATACAAATATAATTAATTGAGTAGCTTAGCTATTATATTTTCTATATTAAGTCCTCGCTAGCCAGTTTTTCAACCAATTTAATGAACTAGCTGATGATAACTTCGTCTGTAGTGTAGGGTGTATATAAAAAACTATCAACCCATAAAACGGGCTCTATAACATTAACTTGACATTTGCATGTTAAAATTTAAACTATTACAACAATGTGAAGGAACCAAATATTACTTAGTAAACAATTGTGAAAACTAATTCAAAATATACCAATCATTTGCGATCTATTTTTACATATAAAATTCCAAAATCTATATTACTCGTATATTTTGCACATAAAAATTCACAAAGTGTTTAATAATGGTCAATATAACGTAATACCACTGTAATACACAATAGTAAATCATGCAAGTATAATTCCAGGTAAAATAGCTGTATTGTCTATTGAAATATGTAAATTGTAATGGGCAATTTTAATAGAACAGGCCAAATTGAAAAAGAAATAATTTGAAATGGACAAGTCATGCACAAGAAACATATCAATTTTAACAGTAATTCAAAATTGGATGAACTTATAAAATATTGGATGAATACAGTAATACAGTAGTTAGTTTCATAAACAGTTTAGGTCAATACCCTGATGTATTGTTACGTAAAAGCTGTTTATAGGATTAGTCACAACCGAAGAGTTATTAACTACCAAACAAGCGCTTCTGGCCGAGTCATCCAAACCAGTTCAAACAGTTATGATAACTCACTTAGTGGTTCTGCCACACTATCATTTTCACTTACCGTATATTACACGTTGACTGTGTTTATGGCTATGAGGTTCAATAAATCAAAGTTATTAAAGAGTGTAGTTATAGTTAGTAGAGTGTAGTTTCCAGGTAGTGCCTTTAAATTCTTTCAGTAAAAGAATAATTAAGATTTAACAGGCAATGACAGTTTGTATTGCCTGTGCCATTAGACATTGTATTTGTTTAAGATTTTTAGCCCAAAGAAGGAGAAATCCACGACCTTGTCCATCTAACGTCGAAACTTTGTTGGGTGCTACACACAATTGAAGGCCTAATGACAAATGACATCATGGTCAAGATCGAACTATTGTCTTTCAGCCTTTTAGGCGGATACTTTAAATAGTCTACCCAGACAATTACTTTGAATGGATTAGTTATCTAAAACAACAACACTTTTAGGAACACAAAGAAAAATAATGTGTATGATTTAATTGCTTACTTCCGTTCATTTGCCTTCTAAATGCTTAGTTGCCTAAACACGTGATAATTTATGATATTCTCTGTTTCTCAAATGAGTTTCAAAGTGTGAAGACTTAATAAAACTACGCACTTATGTATCCACAACAACGAGATGTATATACTTAGCTAGACATAAAACTATAGGTAGCATTGTAACGGCACTTAAAAAAAAAAATTGAGACGCTGTAAAATTTATTTTGTTGGCACCAACTAGGGGAATCCCCTATGCCCCTGGTTAAAATCTACTCAGTACAATGTACTTTAACCCTTAGTAGTCTATAAATGGCGACCAACGTCTCGCAGTTCTCTCATTCAGTGCTAACTTTAGTTGTATCTCTGGTGCACTGGTTGCATATATGTTTTCATGCATAACGTGTATAGGAAAGTACAAGTTAACAATCAAGAGCAAAGAAGGCACAGTTGTAAGGTAACAAAAGCAACTTTCTCGGTTCCCATTGGCTCCTCCGAACCACCAGAAAAGGATTCCTCTTTAAAACGAAAAAATTCTTTTTGGAATTCGCAAACACCCATCAGGATGTTACTTGATGACACGTTTCCTTAGAAAGTAATTTTGAAGAACGATGACAAGACTTGCCCACAGCATGACTGACGGTTTCTGTTTTACTCCGAACACAATCAAGAACGATTTCCCGTCCTTCACGTTTCGCACGAGACACCCGAGTTTAGCGTTACGACTATTAAACCTGGAACGGCAATCAAACCTGTTACAGAAAAAACCAGTTATTCACAGGCAGCTGCTCCGAATAGCTTGGGTGTCGTGGCCTTCGGTCTTCGGCTAAACTGGTTGACAACCGAGGCGGGGATCCTCATTTGCGGAAAAACGGAATTCTTTCGGACAAAAACCGATCCGGGTAAAGGTTGGTTTCCGTCTGCGCGAATCTTTTGGGGAGTCTTTGATGGTCGCTTGTTGGTTTGTTGGAAAATTTGACCTAATGTGTGACCTAATATTGACCTGAAAATTGAAATCCATTGTAAAAATTACAAAAGGGACTACAAAACTTAGATGTCTACGTTTTGTCTAGCTTATAGAATGTTTAGACTAACGAATGTAAGATTAAAAAAGGTAAATACATATTTTTAATTATATTACAGCTCAGGGGATAAAACATGGTTTTCAATGAATGTACGATTTTAAACAACCTTTAGGTGATTTCGCAGAATTTTTATTTCACCCTTATGTATCAATGATTTGTTTATGGTTTAGGTAAGACCCTTCTAAATCTTGAGACCAATGGTTGAAAAGTTTTGTTTTGTGTGACAAATACTACTCGTAAATATACACCAGTGACAATGTATAAAATTTTCTTTAAAGGGTACTGACCAAAACCTCACACTGTACCAATCTAACGTGAACTTGTTACATATAGCATCATAATAAATACCCCGATGTAAATTGTCAACTATGTTAGGGATAGTTCATTGTTGGGACCATATAAGAAACATTAGGAAGGCATGGAAGACGATTGACCGGCTACTCAGTTAGTCTTGCCTCTTGTTACCTAGTCTTTGGTAATACGTACAGTGAACATGTTCAAATATAAAAGAATTACAGTATTTAAATGCTACCGGTACATAAAAATCAAACCCTTTACATTGTGTATAAACATAATATATTCACGTCCTAACTTTGCCATAAAATACCACAATATTACGAATACATCAACTTGTTTGTCGATATAATCCTATACATTATATCGTAATAGAAATAACGCAGCCTCCCTAAATCCTGTGAATAATAATTTGATAGCTGTAAAAGTTTGAATATTGCAGACACCAAAAATGTCACAATGTTTTGCGACTCAATGGAACAGACGATAGATAGACGACTGGCTCAACTCAGGAAACGACCATTCAAGGCTGACCAGTTGTCAGAAATCTGCGTCTTCCAAATGTTTTTAATATTGAATTAATTACTGACATCGGTTCACTTAATGTCTCCAGTTTCTACGAAAGAGAAACGTTATACATTATAAAACTACGACTGTTGCCACTGTTGTTTTGAAAATGAACAGTGTGGCTTGTGATAGAAAGTATTTATTGTGGAGAAAGTATTCTTTTCGTCAACATTTTCGATTTAGGGTCATTTTAAGTGTGTTTTGATTTGGTTATGCTTTATGTTGGTCACCAGATTTAACTGTGACAGACTAGTTGATTAAATGAATACCTAAAAGCAATAAAATGCGTGTTGTGTGTCGCAAGACTCGAGTTGGAACCGCTGTGAGTGCTCAACAAAACGTCCTCGTCCAACGTTTGCTATTAAGATGAGAGGGATCCTTTCTGGACATTTTAGGAAGAGTTTTCGAACTGTCACAATGGCTATAGTTCAAGCTATCTCCGCTACAAAAACGAATTTTCGTTTACAATAAAGCACCATTATTTTTAGACACTTAGGAATAAGGGTTTTCTACTGGATGGAGAACTAAGTAAGTTCAATAGAGGAGGTATCAATGCCACTTGTATCTTCTTGAACCAAAGTCATTAATAATTTTTATTTCTGCAGTGTGGGACGCCTCCGCAAAGACAGCAGTAGGGCTCGTGACAGGTACCACGATCCAGATGGGCGACTTTGACGAATGCCTGGGGGTGAGGGCCCCGGTGGAGGCTCAGTACTGTCTGGTCACTTTGGACCTCGAGGTGCCCAAGGGACATGACACCCTGGACCCGGAGACCGAGGAGTATCCTCCCCAGGGATCCGCCTGGGACAAGATTTATGTAAGTGTGAAGTTCTGTGACAGGAGCTACGAACAGTAGGAGCTGCAATTGAAATTAATTGATTGATAACTTTTTCGATGTTATAATGGTCCAAGAAAAGTTACAACGAAACACACTTAGGGATGTACAATCGTTGACTTCTCTGTTGGACCGTATCGTCGAGCTGTTTTGAATGCTGGCGTTGATGTGACGATCGCAAATCTCCATCATCAGGATGCAAATGATGGATTCACTACAGTATTGGATTTGCGTATCCCTGATCATGGAAATTTGCTAACGTCTCCAAAACTTCGGCATTCAAATAGAGCTTGACGAAACGGTCAAACCCAGAAGTTAACGAGTATATCTTTTGTGGAACCAACCGTGAAAGACAACACTCCTTCATTGAAGCCACTGCCTAGGGATGTAAGTCCAGTTTTAAAAAAATCTTACAGAACTATAAGGTGTTTTTAACAGTATTCTCAAAGAAAAGCAAGGGCTTGTGCGGTAATTATTTAATTCAAACACTAAATGGTAGGAAGTTACTAGCAGTTATTCTCTCAAAAGCCAAAACTAGAAACTACTACTTGCGTTTAAAATATGAAGTTTGTAACACTACCGTAACCAAGCTCTGCCACTTCAAAAATCAGTAAACGATGAATTGTACAATCTTTGACACGGTTTGTTGACCTCGAATGGTTTATAACTATTTGTTCAGTAATTATACGCCCACTTTTGCGGTAAAAGTTATTCTAAACCTGTTAAAGACATGTCATGACACGATGATTGGCTAGTTGATGTAATTACTCTACAAAAAGTAGCAAACACTTAACGTTAGTATTTTCCTTGTGTAAGTTGAGGTTCATTAAGAAGAGATTTTCTATAGAGCCCCACCCCACTGACCTTCAAATAAAACTGACAATCAAATAGTTAATTATTGATTGAATAGATATTTACTATAGTATTACATACAAGAGGATGGCACGAGACAGACAAAAAAACACGACAATCCAAAAATCAAAAATATCTTATTTCAAAATTTTTTTAAATTAAAGTATAGAAATCCTGTATTATAAGTTGATTAAAATGAGCTTTGTTAATTTTTACAAGCAGGTACGCAACAAAGAGAAATCTACATTTAGACCTCTAAAATGAATATCAAGTTTTAGAGAAATGATTACTTGTGTTACCTTCTCAATCAGTGTTAACTAGTTCAATGAATATTTTGTTAACATTTAAATAATTTTACGAAACCAAATAAATCTCTTATGTAAGGTTTAGATTTTATTTCAACATCTTTCGCAGAATTTTTGTATGGATTAACCTTTGCAAATTATTTTATAATATTTTCTGTTTTAACTAAAACTATGACTGGAATATCAACTTTCGAACATGGAGATTCAATAATACTACTTCATTGCATAAAGTTTGCATGTTTCCGGGGACTACAATACCAAATTTGCTACAAAAGATCTTCGACTCAGACATTCATGTAATTTGTAATCCTCCAGGAAGTCATTGAGTGTTTGATGGCGTAACTCTAGAAGCCGAGCTTAGTATTGCACGAGGAAGCATATTTAAGGGCTGCAAGTTAGCGTAAAGCCTCTTGCAGCCTTTAATCTCTCAAGGCAAAGAGCAAAGAAAAATAAACTGCTGACAACCATCGGTCAAAGAAAGAAGAACACTTCTTTAAGAAGACAAGCTGGTTGTATTTCCATAGACGAATTTCCATAATAAATTTGGACAATGTAACAGGTATTTTCATTTTCATTAAATTGTTACAAACATGAATATAGTTTGCAAATTTGTCCCCAGTACGGTGGATCCAAGGCCAAGCAGCGTCTAGACCGTTTGAAAGTGGCTCTCTGCGTCCCCTCGTCGTGCACTCCCGACGACCTCCGGGTGTCCTTGACTCGGTACATCCAGGGGACCAACCAGAGTGTTGCCAGTGTGGCGGTGGAGGAGGGGGCGTGCTCCAGGGGGGATGATCCTGGGTATATGTTCACCTCTGGAGACATCGCTTTCTGGTAAGTTTGTACACCCAAAGAGAAGTAAGATACAGAGAAAAACTTCATTGGTATACTTAAACAGTGTCCAGCATTAGTCGCTGATGTATAGGGAAAATTCCAACACCACCTTCCTCTCCCTAATGTACCACATTGATCACTGTGAAGGAAGACACTTTGCGACAGGAATTTCCGCACAGTCCTCCTTGGGCTCTTCCATGCCCGGCACAAATACACGACAAGCCATAGGGTAAAGCGTACGGTCTTTCCATAAGCAAGTTTCCTTTGTACCTTACCTCACTGTGGTACACCTTTGATACAAATTTCTGCATCGGTGTTCGTATTGATGGAGCTGCGGATTGTGGTGGATTGTGGGAGCTTGATGGATTATTTGCAATTTTCATTATTGCTTGGATTTTCGTGAAGAACGTTCTTCACACTGCTCACCTGAAACATTTAATAATATTTCTACACTCTGTATTATGAAAACTGTCTTCTGACACTCCGTATACCTGGGGTAATCAGGTCAGTTCCAGATAGAGGGCCAGGAGACAGGTTATATTATACAGACTATAGTTATAAGATCGACCCTTTTAAATGGACACAAAACGCAGCTAGTTTATAACTTCATGATGGATAAGTTTAAATTTATTTATTATAGAACCTTTTTACTGATAGTCCAAATAGATATGATCTATATGTCAGTAAAACCAGGGAAATTACAGGACCATTTTAAGACCAAGGATAGCTAGATGCAGTGCCAAGGCTCTACCAAACCTTCAAAAAGTCCTCCAATTTTTTCAACCAGACACTATCCTAGTGTCTATAGAGGATCCATAGACTTTTAAATTTAACTTGTAATGTTTACAGTACAAATTCGTGTGAATATATAGAGTGGTTAAAGGAGACATATTTTGTTATACTGAGTGTATCTTTACAGTACTTTTCCTGTTAATACATGAAGTAAAACCATAAATAATAGTTTTTTGTGTAACTATTATGCGAAGTGGTACACTTTGCGCTCGCGTTACACATGATATTTTCCTACAGTTACTATAAAGCATATAAATAATTAGTCGGACGAAATGGGAAACGCAACGCTGCACTAGCTGATCGTAGACTTAGTATCTTTGTGCTATCAACTCTTTTTCAAGCTTACGCATAATCATGTGGCTAATAAAAGCACGCTGTGTTGTGTTACGGTTGGAATACCGGAGTTAGACAAAAACGAGTGCGGTAAACGTAAGTGCAGCAATTAGCTACTTTGCGTGCTAACTTTGCGTGCTACAACCAGTGCAAGGAAGTCCACTTTGTCAGATAACTATAGCAAAAGAAAATAGTTTTTGAAAAGAAATGCCAGATGATAGGGTCTATTTGTAAATGATGAAAAAGACCTGAAGAAACACAATTGCGACGATAATTGTGGGGCGTTGCACAGGTATGGTTTATATTAATATTTTAATACGCAATATTCAATGCGTCGTTTAGACACACATGATTGTTTTGGATGCAACCTTGAGCAGTGGGCGTGCGAAACCATTTTTCAAAACAACCGTGAAATAGTGATTGGTCTTCCTTGAGAAAGCGATTCCCTCACAATTCTAGACTGCTCATAAAATTACCTAACGCAATCGTATACAACTGCAGGTAGCGATACTTATAGTGTGGCTAACGTTTATTAATCTGTTACCAATGGTTATTCTACGCCATATTGTTGTTTATATGAATAATCCGAATATGTCAGAATTATGTCATTTACAACCCCAAATAATTATAATAATACAGGTAAAATGGAATGTAGTTATTTTGTTGTACTGGTAATGAAAAATATTGCAAAGTTTTGCTTTAAAATGTAAAAGAAAGCAGTATGGAACAGTTTGATTGACATTAAATTAAATTTCACCGTAGTCATAAAATGATGTAAATAAATTTTATTTCATTCGTTTACTTTCGCCCTGGAATTCTAAATGGATTCCTCATCACTTTTTAGTCATAAAATGATTTCAACGATTTAATTATCCAACGTCATTTATATGAAAGTAGGTCTTCTTAAACTGCGTTTTAATTACTCTTATTTGTAAATAATATAAAATAAGCTTTCAATATAAACGGTGGTGATTTTTGTTCTGTATCACGATTATAGTTTCAATTATGTTCTAATTGTTTTATCATGACGTCATATTATATGTTTACAGTGTCGTAATGCTGAGTGTGTTCATCGTAGTGACGTCAGCGACGGTTTACGATCTAGTCGTATACGAATACGACGGTCACTCACCTCCAGGTATGTAATGTATTCCAATTATAAAGTTAAATAATAATATCAATGATAGGGACCTTAATATTAACCTTAAAAATTTGAATGAATTGTGTTTTTGGCCTCTGGGGATATTAAAATGAAAAAGTAAATCGGTCCCGGGCCTAGGTCCTACCGTGCCACCTACGGTAATAGCTACTTCCTTACAGAGAAATTCGCTAAAAACAGCTTAAACACATGGGGATTATTTTAATAAATAGTAAAATTAAAGCAGTTGTATACAATAATTATCCAAATCCACATTTATTTTTATTTTTACATGATACTTTACTTTATTTTCAATCGGTTTCGTCAAAATGTAATATCCTAATCCAGACAATATTTATTAACAAAACAGAATAACAATGCAAATTCCAAAATATGTTTTACTGATGATTTCTTTTTAATGAAAAATAATTCCTTACTAGTATAATTAATAACTCAAATATGTTATTTTTCACCAACCCCACAGCCAACTACGTGCAGTGTTTGTCGGCGTACCGAGGACTTCGCAGTCTGCTGCGGAGGGACCAAGGAGTGGCGGAGTTAGACCTCTCCACACTCTACGGGGTTCACTCTTTCGCCTTCCTCTTCATAGTGCTCGGCCACCGCTTCGGGTCCTACATGTGTGCTCCTATCACAAACTATGAGGACGTGGAGTATGTAAGTAAACTATCGGGGGTATACATCTTCGGATTCAGGGGGGGTTATTGGAGTTGAGTTAAATGATACCCTGCTCTTATACAAGACCGTGGTGTTAGCAAGTGGCACCGTCACGCCGGCCGGCCTATTGCCATGCTCATACAGTATAAACAATTGTGTAAAGATAAACAGAGCGCAATCCATTACGAATGAGTGGTAGGCCGGGGCTGCGACGTTGTCACTTTTGTCTCACCGCGGTCTTGTATTAGAGGAGGCTGTGGTTAAACTCTCTATGATTATGATGTAGGCAAAATTACTTTTTTGGGGGCCTCACATCACCAGAAGCTAACAAGAACACATAGTATAGAATAACAAAGAAGAACAATTAAAGCTTAAAGAGTATCAAATGAGTATAAAAGAATGTTTTTATGTTTGGAATGTTTACACTGTAATGTTGGCAAAATTAATTGTTAATGCATTTTAGGAACCCCACATCACTAGAAAATACTCTAAGGGACATTTAAAGTTCCTCAATTTTACTAATGTTAAAATAAAGGTTGCTTGAGCCAGTTAAAATCAAGAGTGGGCTTTAGGTAGAAGTATATGTAATGTTGAAAACCTTTCTGTTCTATAAAATATGATTGGGGGCATAAAATAAAAATCTAATTAGTTGAGTGGTGCCACATAAATAGTTTGTTGACTTAGAAACTCTTTTCCCCATGCTCTATTATTTCCTCACATCTTTGTTTGCGTATTCATAGCTTTAAACAAAAGGTTACATGCAAATTCACTTTTTCAATTTTACCCCGTTTTTTTATTGATTAACAACCACCAGTTTTAAGGATTTTCTGTAGCTACACATTACAACTTTATGCCCAGAAAGGTATCTTTAATCACCATGTTTTCTTTGGAAATCGAATGGTGTGGCCTTTGGATTTCCTTAAAATGGCTTATGTGAGGGTCATATATCTAAACATGCTCACCTTCAAGCTCATCGGATGTACATTCTGACGCAACGTGTACTCTTCAAATTTCCTTGAAATGCTCAAGCCTGAGAGTTGGCATCTTGGGGACAAAATATTTAAACTGAAAAGCGTTTAATAACTGAAAACTTGGTTAGTTAACAATGACGCTGTTTTAATGACTCGTTTTAGTAAGATCTTCAAAGTTATGTCAAAATCTGTATAGATTTTTAAACGTTCATATTATTACATATGCAAAAAATCTGCTCTTAACTGGATCATCAATTTTCTTAGAATCCATAAATGACTATACTATAATTTATTAAGTTTGATGATTTGTTTATAAACTCTTAACGATTCTGGAAGCAATTAAAACTATTATATTTGCCCAAGGATTACCAACGGCGAGGGTTTAAAATCAAAACAACTCGCGATCTAGTTTAAAGAGTACACTCAAACTTGGGAAAGGGTTAAGTGTTTGTTTTCAAACTTGTTAAACATACTTTTGGTTTGTTTGGATCTGTTTGAGTAACCTTGACGATATATTTTATTTTATGAAAGGTGAATGAATAATAATTTCTTTTTGTAAAAAAATACAACCGACTTCAAACGCTCTAAAAAGAATGAAATAATTTCAATAAAGTAAACTTTTGTATTAGGCAAGCTCACGTATTTTAAGTCGGCGCGGCTCTATGATGATTTTTGATACAAAATTGAAAGAGGGTGTCCATATTGCAGGTGACTATCTAATATATAAAATTCTCGTGTCACAGTGTTTGTCTGCAAACTCCTCCGGAACGACTTCACCGATCGTTATGAAATTTGGTGTGTAAATTCTGTAGGTATGCGAATCGGACGTAAACTATTTCCCGTTTCGAAATTCTTAAAAGGGCTCCGCCCCAGTGGCTCTGGAGTTTCCCATGTTAACCTTATGAGAAATGGAATTAATGAATCTTAACAGCTGTTTCAATTAAACAAGTTGGTTCTGTTCTATGATGTTCAATAGCATTAAAGTTACAAGGATTACCAACAGGGTGCAGCACTATTATTTCTTTTACATTTATGACAACAGCTAATTTGCAACCAAAAGGTGAGTGAGCGTAGCGAACGAACTTCAACCTGGAGGCGAGTTAGCGTAGCGAACGAGCTAACCTGAAGGCAAGTGAGCGCAGCGAACGAGCTCCAACCTAAAGGTGAGTGAGCGTAGCGAACGAGCTCCAACCCAAAGGTGAGTGAGCGTAGCGAACGAACTTCAACCAGGACGTGATTGAGCGATGCGAACATCTAATCTGAAGGCAAGTGAGCGCAGCGAACGAGCTCCAACCTAAAGGTGAGTGAGCGTAGCGAACGAGCTCCAACCCAAAGGTGAGTGAGCGTAGCGAACGAACTTCAACCAGGACGTGATTGAGCGATGCGAACGAGATCATCTTGAAAATTAAACGTAACGGTACTTAAATTATAAATAGTCAAAGGCAAGACAACGTCTGCCGGGTTTTCCATCGGTCTGTCTTAGGGGAAACCTATAACTTAGGCGATACGAAGTTCGCCGGGTCAGCTAGTCTATATATATAATTCCGTAAGTCAAATTTTTGTAAAGAAATTGTGAGTGACTGGATGGCCGTAGAAGGATGGGAGGGGTCTTATTTTAAAGGTCTTGACGTGAATTTTGAGGGAAAACCATCCATTTTTCTTTTTTTTTTTACCATAAATTCACAACAGAATAAAACTTTTCCCATTAAAACAACATGGGGTTTAATTTGTTTACATCTTTTGAAATTAAAACAGCTGTGCCACAGATTTGAAAACAGTGATCAATACACGCATTTGGTTTACTTTTAGCCAGTCAATTATGAAATGTATACTATAATAAAACTGAAATATTGAAGATTAGTCGGAAAATTCTTTGTTTATATTTAAATCATATACTCAAGTTTCATTTTTTCATGCTTTTACGTTATTGTCGTGTTAAAGGAATAAACGACATAGAATAAATATTCTGTGTAAATAATCAAAGAGTCAAAATTAAATCTAACTTCTGTTTTGTTTTTATTTTTAAATCATATGTTCAAGTTTATTTTAAATGATGTTGTTTTCTTTATATTTCTACACATTTTAAGGTTAAGGTTGTGTAAATTTATACAACTAAAATAACCTATAAATGTTATTGGTTCTAAAATGGTGTATTTGCATTCCTTCGTAAGTAATTTTTTTAGTGCAGTGAATACAGTATACAACGTAGAGTAATCATATTCGATCATACTTTTATAAAATCACCAGGGATTCAAGATGTTTTAGTATGTAGGCTGCTGGATATATATTCTTTTCATTATAAGTACTGTAATTAATATGAACGCCAGGGGAATACCACAAAGGCGGGGAACTGTTCATAGGAATGACAGTGCGCGTAGGAGAGCAAGAGTAGATAATGACGAACTTAATCAAGATATGTTACAACCCCTTTTTAGGAGACCCATGGTAGACGAGAGAAATGTAAAGATCCATGATGCAGGATTACTGGACCAAGAGTGCATTCAATGTAGTGCTCTTCATTTTAGAGAAGAACTAACGAATAGGCTAATCATTTTATGACATGTTGCCATAACGGACTTATTCACCTTCCTCAGTCAAAAACTAATGTAGAACTTAGAAGTTTGTTTGAAGAGAGCCCACAACTGTATAAATTCATTCGACAATGCAACAGTGCGATGGCTTTTGCTTATTTTTCAGCCAGTAAGAAAGATATTCCAGGAAAAGGACCATACTGTTTCAAAATTCAAGGACAGATTTATCGTTCAATCTCAGATTTGCAGCCTCAACATGATGAAGACCCCATGTATGGCCAATTGTACATTATTGACACATCAACAGCAACAGAAATTCGTCAAAGGCGTCGAGAAAATAGTGACTTAAAACCTGAAATATTGTCAAAACTAGCTGAAATTCTATTAGAAAATCCATTTGCACAAATTTACAAAAGAGCTTCGGAAGAAATGGTTGTACAAGGTGACAGTGAATTAGAACTTAGGTTTGTAGACAGGATAAATATGGATCGCCGTAGGTATAATAAGCCTACTGCAGATGCAATTGCAGGCGTCTTCAATTCATCTGAATGCGAACCTCCAATGAATTTTTAAAATTCCAAACAGGGAAGCTTTTATTTATCCTCATTAACCACAAGACCAAAGCTACCTTAGTAAACCAGTATTTATTCACAAACAATGATATGTTTGCTGCCTTTTCATGTTAAACCACTGGAGTGATTCAAATTATTTATTGAAAATGACATCAACAAAAGCAAACAAAGAAGAACAACAAACTGGTTTTTACACAAAAGATATGGTGTAGGGATGCCTATTCAGACACATAGATAATGTTATTCTGAGTTTGTTTAAATACCGGTATTGCAAAAAGTTGTTTTACATTTGAGCTTTTTAGGGACTTATGTCCCTACAAGCCACTAGTCTATAACTAAAGGTGTTAATCTGCATGTGTTTTTCATAGTTATGCGTTAAGTGTTATTTTATTACCGTAATCAGAGATCGGCATTATAGTGGTATTAACGAGTATCTTTAAAAAGATTATAACGCATTTAAATGTTTCTAACTTTGAAAAGTAACGTTTTAATACTAAACTAGCTTCTTTTCCCTATCATAATATCAAACTAAATTATTTTCCTATTCATATAGAACATTTGTGTGTGTTATTTTCATAACGCATTTATTCTGAAGTAAACATAAAATACAAGAAAATATTTCCTTTAATATATAAACAAAGCAGTTCAGTATGTTTTTTATATATTTATGTTATCCAGCTACAATTTATTGATTTTCAAAATACACACACAATATTTAATTTCAATCATATTTGCAGTTTGAGCCGCGCCGACTTGAAATACGTGAGCTTGCCTAATACAAAAGTTTACTTTATTGAAATTATTTCATTCTTTTTAGAGCGTTTGAAGTCGGTTGTATTTTTTTACAAAAAGAAATTATTTCATGATTTTTAGTGACTGTATAATTTTTTATATATCAATCACTTGAGGTTTTTTGATAAGCAAAACTGTTTGAAACAATCAAAAGCTCCACAGAACAATAATTATTTTAAAACTGCTTGAGTCACCTGTTGAGGTTACATAATCATTGGTTATGAAAATAAACATTTTCAGATATTCCTTAAGAAAGAAAGAGTTGTCCATTACATTAGGCCTGATGAAAAACTAATTGTCTTTTCTAGATACATTGAAATGTCAGACATCATCGTTTCCTGCAATCGGTGTACTTTTACATTATAAAAAGAAATACAGTAACGTCTCAAGCCTTTTGGAACAATATGAAAGTTATTCCTCAGCTACCAGCACTAAACAATCTCTCAAAAGTGGAAAATTGGTCGTTAACACGTATAGTACCTTTGGAAAATATTATATGAAAGATTGGTTCAGCTAAAAGTGGTGTAAGTCATGTAGGGGGTTTTGTTTGATCAAGATATAGCCTAGTCGAAATTGCAAATCATCTTCCCCTAGGACTTTCCGAAGCAGGCATAATAGTACTGATATGATAATAGTAACTGGGTAGAGAATATTAATAAACATTCCACATCTGCAAATGCATGTTTAGTAATTAAAATATTTAACACTTTTAAGACAATTGACGATTATGCACTGTCACACTTCTTAGGTCGTGTAAGGAATAATTGCATTTAATTTATATTTAGACCTGTTTTACGAATGCTTTGGTTTTCACAATACACCTTTATTTGTCGATATCATACAGCTATTCACTGAAACATATATGTTTTTGTAAGTCAGAATATTCAATACTAAAAACAGAATTACTGTATACACAAATCAGGTCAAACGTTAAAATACATTTTCTATAGTAACTGTTCTATTTCTAATCCAAGAATATTAAACACACATCTTGTTTCAACAAACTCTATTTCAAAACTAAACCAATGTTTACAAAAACATGTTTACAAAAATCATCTGTCAACAAAAGATATTTAAACACAAATAAATCATATGAGTAGAAGAACAGACTTAATACAACAGTAACCAAAACAAAAAGCATTTTTCTCAATGTAATTAATTTAGGCTCCATGGCAAGAAATAGTTTATTGATCAATATGAAGCAACTGTTTCATGAAGAATTGTCTGTAGCTTCATTTAAATGGTTTCAACTAACAGCTGTAGGAATGTTATTTTTATTTATTGCCTTCTCTGCACAAATGTAAACAATCTGCACAAATGTAAACAAAATAAATGTTGAATATTTAAAGTTTTCAGAATTTTTCACCGAAACTAATATTATACTTAAACATAATATATAAGGTACCAAATAGAAACTCTCCTGGTTATTTTGGAGGTGGAACCACACTGATCGGTAAAAGAATCACAGAGAAATTGGTGAACATACATAGAAAAAAAAAAACATCGCCACAGACAAATTGAGAACCTCCTCCTTTTGTTGGTAGTGGGGAAGTCGGTTAAAAATGATTAAACACGTTTATTTTTAAGAATACAAAAATGTCATTATTTATAAATACTTTTTATGAATTCCAAAGCAATAAATAGAAAAAATAGAATGCTTTTTAATCAATACGTACTTAAAATTCCGAATCTAAACTAATGATTTAATATAATTTTAACTCTAGATGCGTTCTTAAAACACAAGGAACAATAATTATTGTATTGTGAGTTTGATTGAAGTACCCACCAATGATTAAGAATAAAATTTAAAACTTAAAATTTCAAGCTTTTATTACTTTATTTCTTAAGCATATTTTAAGCAATTAATTTAGTTTTCTTAACAACGGCAAAGTAGACGTTGTACATACAATGAAAAATTTTGTTACCCACTGTATTATTGAAATCTATTAAAACATAGAGATTTTACAGTCCCTCTCCTTCAACTCTTTTAATTTTAATTTTGGTCCTGTGTTTGACCTAAATTTTTTTTCATTCTAACATGGTCAGTTGTTTTTCTCTTGCCTAATCGTCAAGAACGTGTAATAACTTCAGTAAAACTTTGCAAAGAATTATTTAACCAGATTATCACAAATTTTCAGTTAAAAGCGTTTTTACTTACACTATTTTCCCTTAATCGCATTTCAATTCTCCAATCTTTCATATGAATAAAGACATTTCACTACTCTCTTCGCTTTGGATTTCCTCTCCTGCCGACTTTACAACATCCCGAATTTTCTGCTATAAACATTAAAAAAATATTTAAACCTTTTTTATTTTATTTAATATTTATATAGGCAAGCATGTTTCTTTAAAACCTTTTTTCTCGACCCATGTGCATGGCAGGGAAAATCTACGTATACTGTTAGAAAGATATTAGCCTGTAGCTTGGGGGGGGGGGGAAATAGAGAAGTTTGTACATTAATATTTTTGGTTGTGTCTTCGACCACTGGACGACCTCTAGTATATTTTATTTGAGGAAAGATCCAAACCTCCTTTGAACTATATTTCACTTCTTTCTCACCTTTGAACTGTTCACAGATGTTCCGGCACTACCTACTCTCCATGTGGACGGGTCATATGGATCTCTTCTGTGACGTATTTTTCTTCTTATCCGCATTTCTGTTGGGCGTAATTCTATCTCTGCAGTTGGACAAGAGTTACATCTCTCCGTTTAAAGTCTATTTGCACCGTCTAGTCAGGTAATAAAAGTTCAAAATATATTTGTACTTTACTAACCGCACATAGTCTAAATGTATGCGTCAGTTATACCATGCGTCCCTAAAGTCCCACCCCTGTTATTTTTTTTTATTAATAGAGATAAAATTATAATATTCAGGGATTGTTAATTTATAAAAAATGAAGTTTTTGGTGTATAAATGTAAAGTTCATAATAAAAGAAAAAGCTCAAAAGTGTTTTGTAGATAATTTAATTCATGGTCATGAAAATTCTTTGAAAACCTTGCTAGCTCTTACCGTTTTCAAGCTATAGCCGTAAAAAAAACACGATTTTCTCAAGAAGGAGGGGGAAATTAAAACTGTGAACTGCCATTACTTTTGATAGGATTGACGTAGAGACCTCTAGTTTGCACCCTTTTTTCTTTTATTATGACATTTACGATTATGTATAACTCGATACATTTGATTTACTTTTTGAAAATTTCTTCTTACCCCAAACCCCTTTGGGGGGGGGGTGAAAATTTACATACACCAAAAACTCCCCCTTTTGATCTTATAAACATTCCCTGAATATTCCAATTTTATCGCTATTAATAAAAACATAACAAGGGGTGGGACTTTTTTGGATACACGATATATTCGGTATTCAAATGATACCATTGACTAGAGATACACCACCAAAACATACCTTAAACCTCAAAAATTTAGTTTCCTCTCCAACATATTCATGACAAAAAGTTATCTCTCTTTGTCTAAACTCAAAATTTCTCAAATCAAATCTTGTAGTGTTTTGTCCTAATCTAAGTGTTTTGACTACACTACGTTTCAGCAGGAAATAAAAATCCCGTTTTCAAGTGACTAACTATTATTAATGTACATACCTAACTACTCGACCAAACCTAACCTACCTAATGTTTTTCTCCAACCATAGATTACATTTGATATAGGCCTATTACCTAACCTAAAATGTATACAAAACACAAAAAACCTAAAAATAAACACAAGTATACACACAACGTAACTAAAACCAAACACAACTACACTTATCACTCCAAAGCCTCCAAACTGGAAAATCCCCACAACTTGCGGACAACACCACTTGAATACGCCACACGAAACCCAACCTACACCTTGAAAACGGAATGAGTTTCCTCACCCCCAGAAACGTAGCGTTAAAAACTTAGCATAGGAGAAGTCCATAAACTGAAATACAACATATTCTTGCAGGCTAGTCCCCGCTTACGCCACAGTTATATTCTTCTACGCCACTGTATATTACAAGATCGGCAGTGGCCCCTTGTGGAACGCTGTAGTGCGAAGAGAAAAAGACCAGTGCAGTCAGTATTGGTGGGTGAACCTGCTCTTCCTTAACAACTACCTTGGAGGTGACAAAATGGTGAGCTCATAAACACCAAGTTCAACTTTTGTGCCATAGGAATTGAAACTTCATTAGTGCTGGTTTAGGCATATCTGGACCAGATCATGTTTAGGTTCAGGTCACTGACTTTTTGTGTGTAGTTTTATTCACTTACTTCTATAACGACAATACAGAAACTATTCAGATGTAAAGTAATGTATACTACATTACCATAAATATATACCCAACGTAATTATGTACAAGTAATTGTAATTCCTTTTGACAAAACTGGGTAGAGCCTTTTTTAAAACAACCAAATTTATTTTAAGTATGGGCAGTGTGTTTTGTTGTTGTAGAGTGAGGGCTGAAGTCTTGGTTTTTAATAGCATAGATTTAGGTAATTTTTGAACATTTTGAGTCAGGCAATTATTTTTTATCAATGGATGTGTGGATTATAATTTTAACTAATTAAAACTTCGAACAGAAATCAATAACTTTCCCCTAAAAAGTAAACAATGTATTTAACTATAAACATTTTACATTGTCCAAATGTTTTTCTGTAGAATTTATATGATGTAATTTTAACCCCAAACCCTCTAGTTAATTTTGCACAATTGGATATTTATATTTGTTTATTATTAACAAACAATAACTTGTCGAACCTTGTTTTACGATGTTGTTGTGTTTGTTTTAAACACAGAAACAGTGTTTTGTAACGGCGTTTGATAGAATCATTTGAATTGCAAATGTTTGATTTCGCTGTAAACGCCGGTAGCAACTTTTGGTAGCTCGGTCACTAACAAAAACAATAATATACGATGCAACTTCAAAAGGCCTGCTTGAGTTTGCCGAGTATGCCAAATATTTGTTGTTTGTGAACAGGAAATTAATTGAGCAAAACAGTACATTACAAAGGTCTGAATACAAGGGGTTATAATTGGGATAGTTATGGAAAAGTGTTTGACGTCATAATCAAAATACAATATTATGTACATGTTCACTATATACAGTAGATGTAGTTTAGGTTAAACAAATAACAGTGTCAATAGGGATTCAATGACATTCTTGGAAAATATGATTGGGAATCTAAATAGATACAGAACAAAGTAAACCAACCAAGGAACCAAGGAAACCCGGGTTTAAAGATATCCCAACCTTATTTCACTTTATTTTACTAATACCCTCCCAACGTCTCTTGCCGTGTGAAGAAGTATATCAATTTCTTTTAGCAAAGTGTTTGTTTTTCTGTTCTCAGTGCCTACTCCAGTCCTGGTACATCGCCTGCGACTTCCAGCTGTTCGTGGGTGGAACACTGCTGCTGCTGCTGCTAAACAGAAGACCGCTGCTGGGTCTACCACTGTCTGCTGTGCTGCTAGCAGTCGGTCTAGCAGCACCGTTCCTGGGCACATACCTGTATAACAGGCCTGCCCTGCTTACCTTCTACAAGGGGTGAGCATGACAAGACACGTGGTAGTGGTGTAGTGCAGGGTCTAGGTCCCAAATGTTCCGGGTTCGAATCCCGCCAATCACCGATGTCCTAGAATGTGAAGATACACAGCCTAGGCATCGTCTTATGAACTTTGTTGTTTTGAAACCAGCTGGAAGCACACGATTATGAATGCAGACTCTACTAGCTTGCCAATGCTAATCCCAAACGAATATTCTTTCACTCCTTCGGCAAAGGTGTGTCTAGATCTGTCATCAAATCACAATACTGACCAGTAGATCTAAGACAATGGGCAGATGAGGTCAAACAACACCAAGATTGTCGTTGCTTGCATTGGTCCACACAATATCAGGTGTCAGTTGGTGATTTATTACATAATCCTTTTTGAAAAAAAGTCGAAAAACATCCTCGTTTTTTTACTTGAAACAAACTGTATTCAATCCAAATCCAAATTCTAATTTTGATTATCTCATATTCTTTAATTGCATACAGGTAAACACACTACATTAAATGTAAAAACAATCCAAATTAACCCAACTGGGGATTGGCAACGGTCAAGTCCGTTGGCATTAATTACATTGCCACATCTCAAATGAAAGCGTCATTTAGAAGTACGGTACGTTATAGTTTATACTGAAATGCTATTATAATTGTGTAATGCTTAACACGTTCGCTACTGAGCGTCGCATATATGCGACGCCGCGGTCATTGCCACAGACCGAGGTATACATTTGAATCTTACACACAGACCGGCTGTCACTTGGATAACAGTACACACAGACCACGGGCGAAAACCTGTAAAACAGTGATCATTTACATTGTAATACGCTACAATCGTGTTTGTATATAAATTATTCTTGTTTTTTGTATTTTTTATAACCTTTAGTAATGTCGCATATTTGCGACGCCCGGTCTACAGCGAAGACAATAGTGAAAATTATCGTAGTTTTCTTGAAATAGACTAAGCGTCGCATATATATGCGACAGTTCATTTTTTTGTGTTTTAAGGTGAAAGTAAGTAAAAAAATAAACAGATTATTCAAGAACAGTTTATAACTGAACAAATATAAAAGCTACATAGGATAATGCGGCATACGTACTGCATACATACATACAGTGATGCAGAAAAGTAAAAGCCAGTTTTTCCAACTATTATATGACGTCGCCAATCATCATATCCACAGACCAAGCGCGTCGCCAACATGGATGGATGGTGCAGCACATCCACTCTAGGGAGAAGAAGTTTGTTTCATTTGTTTCGTTTAGATTGGTTGATTAATTATTAATCGATTGATTGGTTTTTAGTGATTTTAGTGATTTTTTAGCGATTTTTTAGTGATTTTTTATGGATTTATAGGCTTATTTGCTTGATATAATGGCTGTAATTCCACTTTTAGTGCTAATATGAGCTTATTTCCCTGGTATTAAGCCTTTAATGGGTAATTTTATTATATTCTACAGTCTAATTCATCAATAAGTGATTATGAAATTGGTTAAAATGACTAGAAAGTCAAGATTAGGCTATGAGTCTTATGTTTTGAATCGTTTTACTTGCCGATTTGCAACCACTGGTAATACTTGAATTTACGATAAACTCTACATTTAAATTACTTATACTTCACTACATACCATGTAATAGGTGCTTAAGCAGTGAAATATACAAAAATAAAGTCATAATTTACTTTTATAGAGAAATAAATAAAGGAATAAGCCTGTAGTGTTTTTTGAACTGTCTTTGTCATAATCGATTTTTTCCATTTTCTGGCTAAACTATACAGTTATAAGCTCTCCAAATGTGGTTTTCAAATCATTTACTAGTATAGTTTAACTAATTTGATGTTAAAATCCCTTAAAAAATCATAAATAACACTATAATCTGCAATATTATGACATTTATCGTCTTTTAAACTCATGGTGAAAACGCCATTTTATTTTCTGAAATATAAAGCTATTGAAAGGATTAACATTAAATAAACTACATAATTATGTTTATTGCTATATATTCAACAGTAATAGATATATTTTATCCTTTAAAAATGTTTACTTTTTAAGCCTTAGCAGTCTAAAGTTGGCTATTTTGCTCCGAGTTGGACTATTTTAAGTCACAGATTGTAGACTTTTAAAGTGTATATTAACGTAATATTTACTGTTTTAGGCTGAAATGATTCTCAAAGGTACTATATTATACTTTGGTTAGTTCAAAATTGGGTTAAAACAGTTAGAATCCTAATAAAGACCCTTTAAATTCATATAACAATCGTAGTATTCGGTTAAATGAAGATAGGTCTTTAGTTAGTCTTCCTGTTAATCTATACATTCATCAGAGGCTATAATCTGTATTAAACTAATTATAAGATATTTATTTGAAGTGTACATAGTGTTACATCAACTGCCTGCCAAGTCGCGGGCCGTATTTCCCAAACATCGGTAGAATGTGCTGACAAAGGAAATTGCGCAAGGTCACCGCGCGCTGCTGTAGATCTATTAACATACTTTAATATGTATGGCTAAAATCATAAACACTTTTTGGCTTAATAGTTTATTAGTAAAGTACAAACACCATACAGTTTACCATATACAGACTCTTGAACCTCGAGTTTTATTCGGTTGAAGATTGTATACGTGTTTTAAAGGATAGTTTTATTCGATTGAAAATTGAATTTTCTATACATGTTTTAAGTATAAATGTATGGTTTTAAAGTATTGAACTGTATAAAGAATATGTATTAACAATATTATGGTGAAAACAAGAATTAGTAAGTAACAAAATCAGAAATAAAGCATTTTAATGTTGTAAAAAGCATAAACCTGATTAGTTTGAATGCTAATTATACGTATTTTTTGGTCATTTAACCATAAATATAGAGTTAAAATCTGTACTTTTAGATATTTTACTAATAAATCTAGGCTTATATAGCTTGTTTGACCACAAATACAATAGAAAATGATTTATAGCCTTTGGAATACTTCTCACTATACAAGCTATCGTGACTATCGCCTGCCGTTTGCAGAACGCAACGCGTAGTAACTTAAACGCGGGCGGTCGATTACTAAATAACCCTTAAAGACGCATGCATTTAATTAGGTTAGTAAAATGTGGGTAAAAATTAGCTACAATTCAGTGAAAATCCCATCTCTGTATCACTTTTAGTTTTCGAGATATTTGCATTTAAAGTTTCCCACGAGTTATTTTCCCTATAAACCACGTAAATATTATTTTTAACATACAATTTGTATCATCTGACGTTACATTAGAAAGCCTCAACCTAATTAATAGGTTATAAAGCTATTAAATCCCAATATTCCATGAATCAACAGTCTTTAACTTGTAAAAACTGAGTTTCCAACGCTTTTTGACCATTCTGATCGGTGGAAAATCACAAAAAATGCCTTAAAAATCAAACCAATCAATAGATTAATAACCAATCAATCGATTACTAATTAATCAACCAATCTAAACGAAACAAACTTCTTCTCCCTAGAGTGGATGTGCTGCACATACACACCCACGGATAGGATAGTTGTGCGTCAGACATCTCTGTAGACCACTGCAGGGAATTCAGTGCCTTCAAATAGACCACTACAAAGATATAAGCATTTTAATAACATTAGAACCCCGACGCAAATATGCGTCGGCAGTCTATTTTGATGTGACTAGCCGTCGCATATATGCGACGGCAGTCTATGGGTGGAAACCGGCCGTCGCATATGTGCGTCGCTGGTCCATGTGAATGGAAAATTTCGTACTATTGCAGTAGCGAACGTGTTAAGCTAAGCTAGGTTAGAAGTTAAGTTGCCAATTGAAAGGAGTGCCTTCATTTAGTATCAAGCAGAATGCTCCACAGATATGTTTGTGTGCAGTATTTGAAATGAACAGGCGTTTTAAAACTAACGCGCCTAAAATAGTTGCCCTTAACACGATTAAGTTTCACTTTCGGATTATTGCTAACCATAATTCCAAAAAACCTAATGAATGTGAATGTGTACATATTAAAACTAGACTAGCCTAAGAAGGTACTTGTAGTGCACAAACTAACAGTGCGTGAGGAAAGCTGAATTATGGTAGAAAATATCGCTGCTATACAAACATTGTCATTTCCTCAGAATTGAAAGCAACATGAGACTTGCCCTCGTCGACACTACAGACGATCTAAAGTTTACTTCGAGGATATTAGAAAATTTTCACCCGATCTGCTAACGCCCCTTCTGGTCTGTGGCTGACCAAACTAGTTTCTGACTCTTAAAACGTAATTTATGAAGAAAAGGAAATAAAACTGAACCCCTAAACCTTTAATCGATATTTCAACAAATAATACCAAGCTTGTTTGTTATTTCATGGGTTTCAAGAGGTATTTGGAAATTGCATAAATACATTTTAGAATAGTTATTTATGTAACTAGTGGGTAAAGTGGCACATTGTCAACACTTTCGAGAAATGTTTACTGGAGTGCAGCAAAGGCTTAGTTACACGCTACACATTATAATTTTCCTACAGTGACTATAAAGCATATACATAATTAGTCTTTCAAACACTGTACAACACGGTTTTAGGTTAGGTTAAATCCAAACATTGAACGAAATGGGAAACGCTGCACCAGCTTATCGTAGTCGTAATATCTTCGGTTTCCAACTTATTATCAAGTGTACACTTATTACGTGCCTAATAAGAGCACGCTGTTCTGTGTTGTTTGGTTGGAATACTGGTGTGCAACAGAAGAAATTTGCGGTAAAAGTAAAAAGTGTGCGGCAAAGAAAGTAGGTGCAGAAATTAGCAACTGTCTGTGCTATAATCAGTGCAAGGAAGGCCACTTTGTCACTTTGACCATTTTGACTGTAGGAAAATGGTTTTTATTTCACTGACAACTTAACCTTACTTATTCTATTGGGGTGCCAAAAATGTTAAAAAGTTTTCCAAATGGATGATTCGGACTCTTGTATAAGTATTGATGATTCACTTGTTATTCTATGGGTTGTGTAACTATTTCACTTCTTGTTTCGATACCAGAAAAGCGTTACATTATAACTCTCAAATACTTAGACGAAGCCCTTGAGTTCTTGTTTTTTACGGCAAAAAATATACATTGTGCTGTACAGCTCTTCTACAAAATTCAGTTATATGACCAAATCTTTGACTTTTATACGGTTGTAATGAATCTTAACGACTCTTGATGAACTTATATGAATCGTTTGTTTATATAATGGCAGTTATATGAACAAACTTAAAGATTTTCCCTAACAACCTTTCATTAGTCACCTTTAACGTCCTTTCTTAAAAACCTCAAAAGCTGCAATCAATTGCAGCAACAAAGTAATTGTACTCACAGTACCTAGTAGTTTGACTGTGAGTGACTTGCACTTCTTTCGCTGACGTCATTATGGCGTGGATCACAGTTTGGAATTGTCTCTTGTGACAGGTGATTGTCAACAATGCGAAATCGATAAATGATCAGCTGATAGGGTTTGCAGTACAGTACATCTTGTTTATTACACAAGTATTATTGTTGTTCTGTAGAGACTGCGATTGTATTAAATTGACATGTGTTGTTCTACTGGTTCGAATGCTAGATCGCACGATAACATCAGTAACACCTGATTCAGATTCACTGAACTATTTGTTTTGGAAACCAGCGGTACTTTCAGAGAAGGGGCAATTGACCTCCATAATTAATTGAGATAATAATTTATTTAGGTTTGAAAACAGCGGACATCATTTTTAAAACAGAATTTTCATAGAAATAATCACTTATTTTACTAGGATTATGATATTTGGGCTTAACTTTGGGCAACAGAAATACTGGTATTTGAACTATAACTGGTATAATACTATTTTGTGACTCCTACTATTCTGATTTGTTTCAAGTTAATAGTTTCAATCATCATTGGATTGAGTTTAACAAACATAGCCAAAATTACGAAAAAATTTAGGAAAGGAAAGCTAACGTTGAAATCTTTTTTCTCTATCTATTTTCTCTATCTAAGAAATCTATTTTCTCTAAGATTTCAACAAAGTGGATATGAAATAGATACATTTCGACTGATCATTTAGATCACGATAATTTATATTATATTTACATTATGATAGTGACGCAGACTTAGTATTGAGAGAATGTCTTTTTTGTGCTCTAAAACTGACTCGAATCTGAGCAAGAACAATAATTGTATGAGTTTTGTTGTAAGCCTTCTTTTAACTGATTTTACTTTTACACGTCAACTAACTACTGTCCCTCAATCCTTAAAGTCTTATAAACTCAATCCTTTTTTCCTTTTCATCAAATTTTTTACTTTGGAAACTTTAATTGATCTTTGCTGCAAGTGGAAATTCCATTAAAAAAACCATTTATTTAGTCCAATCATTCATAGAATTATACTTGAAACTTCCAAATAAACTACTCTTTGTACATAGTTTTGTCAAGTAGAAATAAGTTGGATAAATAGCACGTAGAATAATTTGGTCATTAGCTTACTTGTTCAAAGATTTACTTAAGGAAAATTAGGAAAAAGATATTTAAAAATAGTATAAATTGAAGAAAGAAGTATGTATTCACGAAAAGTCCATATTTTTAGTCAAACTATACCTTTTATTTTACAAAATTGAAATTGGACTCAAAACACGCATTAAATAACCGTATTCTTAGATATTCTCAACAACTCGTTAAAGTATCGCGTTAATTTTTTTCCGTCATTAAGGTTGTTGTTTACTTAGTTAACTTGCTAATTTATCCTAATAATACTAATAATAGAGTCATTGGATATCTTCATTACCGAAGTCTATACTTAGTAAGAACTGAAAACCCCATATTTGCAACAAATTGAGTGCTATTAACACACAGAGGTCGTGGATACCAGTAGACTTACAAACCACTTGCTCGCACTCGCACTGCGAGTTTAAATAAAAACATTTTTATACTAAAAACCTCTTGACCGACAACACACTTTCCAGCGTTGCCAGTTCACAGACTGGCATTTGATTTACGAACCCTCAAATTGTTTGTCAATTCTACACCAAGTCTATTGGACAACTGACTGTTCAATTTTCTAATGTTTACAGAATGTGGGAGCAAGTCAGAACAGATGATGTATACCTATCAGTGTACAGTCAGGCACACTATAGAGCACCTGGATATTTGATAGGCGTGTTAGCTGGCTATGCTGTATTCAGGAGAAGAACAACGGAACTTACCAAGGTACCAATGAACACTGCCTAAAAATATTTGAAAAACACAACCAATCTATTGGAGGTTTTTGTTTTGTGGCCAGTAAAGTCTTTAACAGTATCAGTAGCACGATTAAAATGGTTGTATGTAAAGTAAATTACTAAATAGTCATATTTACTTTACATAAAAAAAAAAATAAAAAAATGAGACTGCAAAATTAAAGCTTTTAACTACTACAAGATAATACTTCGAAACTCCTTGTCTAGTTTTCGTTAACTCCTTTATCACTTTCCAGAGCAACTCCTGGCTACTGCTGGGGTGTGGGTTCATGGTATGTTTTGTCACCTACTGGACAGGCGCCATCTACACAGATCCTGCCAGGCCCTACAACGCCCTGGAGTCGGCCCTCTACGCCGCTCTAAACCATGCGGTCTTCGCCCTAGGAATGACCTCAGTGTTCTGGGCCTTCATATTCGGTCCGAAATGTAAGCGTTATAATATTTTATGTAACTAATAGTGTTGATTGTAAGAAAGTAATTAGCAAAAATGGATCGGTAACGTTGAATTTCTTTCTTGGACTTCAGATTCGTTGATGACCTATTAACGTTCACAAATCACCGGGTTCATTTGAGTACATCTGTTGAAATCCGTTGGTTTCCGGTTTCAACTGCGTTGGAAGTCCCAGCCTTGATATTTTAGGACACATATTCAAAGTAATGGTGAAAATTCCAGCAATCTCCAACAGACAATTAACGCTGCTGGTACTGAAAAAACCTTCGGGATTTCGATGACGCCGGCATTTATTACTGAAGAGGTAGTGTAGAGTTAAAGGTTTGAGCCAAAATAAGTGAGGTTAAAACTAACCATAATGAGAGGAATCAAGTAGATTCTTTAGTTTAGTAATAGTTTACTTCTGAAGAAACCTGAATCGGGTACAAATTACCATCATGATATATTGTCTACTATTCCGTCACATTATGTACTAATTTTAGCAGAAAATTTATTTCAAAGAATGTTAGGGTTTTGATATAATATACCGCAATCTGACACACTATTATTGTCTCTACCTCAAAGATAGTTTTCACTTTAGCGTACTTAAGTTTAGAAACCTTTATTTCAGCAAAAAGTAGTTCAATGTTCTGTAAACGCCTTTAATGACTTTCAAAAACTAAGTTAATCACATCCGCTACAGACTAATCGTCAAGCCAAACATCGTTAAACGAGTTAAAATAGTTAATTTGACAAGTCGGAGATTACTCCGGCCATTCACACTCACACTGATACGTGGAATTAGTTTGGGCCAAGTAGGTTCTAGATGTTTACTAAACAAACCTTGAACGTGACTGAAGCTGTGTTTTACTAATTATTGAATTCGGTGATTGTATATTTGTTTAAATTTTACTTTCATAATCTACTATCTTAGCGGCTTCGCTGTAGCAAATACATGACTATTATTTACACATCGGTTGATCAACCGAATTAGCATAGATGAAATTCTTGGCTGCCTTGTGTAAAAACATTTATGCTTCTTGGAATAAAAATTACTTACAAAAGCCCGAATCATAATAATTTTAAAATTTCAATTTTCTGAATATGTGTTTATAGTTTTAATATCGATACCAGTGGAATTGTGTTAAAGTGAACCTTTTAATTTATTTCAAATAATAATGAAATATCTGTGAATCTATGAATATATGAGTTATATAAAAAAACTATGTTTTATTTTCAGAATTTTACTTTTTTAAAGATTTCCTGTAGCGTAATTCTATTTTATGATTGTTGATAGCCAAACAACCGTACTATAGCAATACAATTAACGTAACTCGAAATAATGCATCAAAATAAACTGTTAAACCAGGGGTGCCCACAAGGGGGGGCTGTGACGCAGACTGCGTCATTGAAATTTTTGGGGGGGGGTTGCAAAAATTCAAATGGGGGGGGGGTGGCTAAAGTTAATTGCAACAGTGTTCAACGTGACGACAATCAAAAATATTTTACAAGTCACGAGATAGAAAGTGGATTAATTAACGTCAATAGTTATATTATTGAATTCAATTAGTTAAAATGGGATTTTAGGATAGTTTAGGATTCGTGTAGGAAGTTATTATTCAAGTTAGGCAGACGTGAGATCTAAGAGGGAGGGCACGGAATAGCTCAACTGCTGAAATAGATAAAGATAACGTGTGGTAGGCCTACAGACACGTCCAGCTACACCGCGACTCAGCACAGAACGCTTTGTTGACATAAAGCTCATTAAAATACAATCAAGTAGCATAGGCTACAATACTTTACACTATTGTGTAGATACTCGATTACCTGACCTAGTAGGGGGGGGGGGGGGATAATGAAAAATACAGTTAATCCCATATAGTATAAAAACAGATGACAAACCAAACAAAATTAAAAACCAGCTATTAACGTCATGATTTGCATTTTTATAAACGGAATTCAATATTGCACAATCATTATTATTGTGCAATTATGACATTTCAAATTATTTATCTTGGTTCAGTTGCACAAATTAATGGCAACGTTTAAAATTATAGCTAACTGAAACTCAACTATAATAACTAGCCAAACACTGCATTGCTATAAATACATAACGTAAATATTAAACCTTAGAAAGTGTTATAAGCTACTGCTCATGATAGACAGATAGGCTACCGGTAGGTGCTGTATCACAACATAGGAATTGATAGATAAGTAATAAAAAAGTGTAAAATTATATTTAGAGATAGTAAAAATACGAGAACAGTCTTGTTATTCTTTTTCTTTGTTCTTCTGTCATTTATTAGGTTTCTCTTCAATTCATACACAAACTCAACAAGTCGCCATTATTTAAGCCTACTCAGTACTCGTTACCCAATCAGAGCCTTGATTCCCCAGCTGTTGAATCTGAAATCTGTTGTAACATAGCGCACAGCAGACAGACTGAGCAGACGATTGTTGGCGCAAGCGTTGTTTCTTGTTTCAATTTCATTTTCATCAAAGGAGCTGTGATGTTTCAAAAGGGAGGGATAGGGGGTCGTTAAATCAAGAGAAAGACGCTGACAATTCGTTAAGCAGAGGTTACGAACGCTATATTCTGGCAATAATTCCTTAAATTGAGGTGACTTATAAAACTCTAATTTTATTTATATAGAAAGATAAGTTTTCCAGTCCTGTACAACACTGATTCACGGTCTTTCCCCGGTAATCAAAATTCAAGTACAACTTGATACACACAGAATCTCCGGTTCCCGACCTGGATGATGGCTTGTTATTTAATTTAATTTACAGTTACATATTACCCGAGATAAATCAAACCTGTTATGTGAGCCAAAGCCACACGGTTCGGTTATTAATCTCACTTGGTTTTGGATTTGCTTACAAACGTTAGGGCCTACACAGTATTCGTAAACAACATTTTAGGTATGTAAACATATCGGTAACAGCTAGAAAAAAGAATCTTTATCAAAACAGCTGTTCGTAATTTCATATATGACGTGTTCTCTTAACAGATTAATAGCATTTCATAAATGACGTATGTAGTAAACATGGAGAAAAAAACTAAAAAATAACACAAAATTGTGTTTTTGATCGTCCGTTATTTTATTTCCAAAATAGTGAGGCCATATTTAATGGCTAAGGGCACTCTCGCCAATCCTGTGAATACAATTAGAATCATAATCGGTACCGTACTCTAGTTTTCTTTAGATGGCTGTGTAAAATACCATCTGGGCCGTGACAGACGGACATAAATTGAGATAAGACATGTTTCAACTTCTTCAATGTATAGAACGTAAAAATAACCCAAAATGTATAATTCTGAGCAATGTACAGACAAAACTTCATCTTTATTTATATAGATTAACTGGGTTTGAATTTGACATTTGATATTTTATTTTATTATCTCATTTGAATTTTCAATATCTAAGACACTAAGACAAAGTATAAAACTTCTTTTAGTTTTACAAATAATGCTGGGCGGTGGAATAATCTTTCTCATTTGTTGTGTACCTCATTTATGGTGGGGGGGGGGGTTTTGCTCAATTGGGGGGGGGGGGGGTTGCGTCATGAGTCTAGGGGGGGATGGGCACCCCTGGTTAAACATCAACCAATACTATTTTGAGTAAAGCTAGTTAGCAAATAGTAAACTTCCTTTAGTAGCTAGAAGGTCGTAGCTTAATCGTAGTAAAAGGTGAGCATGAAACAATGCAAAGGTCTTCGAAGTCCTATCTGGAATATCCAAGGTTCTCCAATTGTTCTCTAAGGAAATCAAGAATTCTCTGTTGTTTTAGCGAATTTCCCTATAGGGAAGTAGCTATTACCGTAGGTTTCATGGTAAGACCTAGGCCCGGGACCGATTTACTTTCTATTTTGATGTCCCCAGAGGCCAAAAACACCATTCGTTTAAATTTTTATATATGTATGTGTGTGTGTCCGTCCGGACGATAACTTGAGTAATTTTTGTCCGATTTTGATGAAATTTGGTTTGAAGGCGTATGGCGGGATAAACTTGAATGAGTTCGCGAACCAGCATATGGGGTAAAAATTGATTTTTCTCATTTTTGACACTCAAAACAAAAAAATTCCCAATTTATCTATAAACTTTCTTAAAGAGCTTAAAAAACACATAATAAAGTATATCAAAGTGTTTTTGTACGGTTATTGGTTACGGAGAAAACTATAATTATTTTACTTAAAAACACACTTTTTTAGTTTCCTTGTAGCAGCAAACCTAGGTACTTGTTAAACCTAATTTTATAAATAGATTAATTGAAAATAAATTCAGGCAAATGGAAATTCGCTTAGACGGCAGGTTTGCTGCGGCGGAGGTATTATGTTACAATTTTGTCCTCCAAAACTTTTGTAGGCTATTACTGGTTTTGTTAAGCCTCTTCTATCGTGGTTTATCTTAATTATACTACAGTACTAGGTTTTCATTGAGTTTCATAAGTAAAAAAATCTAAAACTGACCATACGTGCCAGAGTCTCTTAAAGTCAGTTCACACAACAGGCAAAGAAGTTCACTGTCAAAGATAGTCCACCAGTGCTTAACCGATTCTAGTAAAAAGTCCACCTGTAGTATATTATATCGTTTGACTTCCAGTTTAGAGAGTACTCCAATATAGAATGATACATTTCTTGTGTTAAAGAACAGTTTTTCATTTTTCTAATTAGGTGCGCCTACAGCTGAATAAGGGCTCCAAACCAAGTCACAGCATCACCGCATAGCCGAAATGCATTAGTGTTTGTCAGGATTCAACCCGATTTTGGTCCTCAAAAAATTCCCCTACAGTCTAATGATTAAAATGCCATGAAATCCAAGGCTAGATAATAAGAGTAAAATGTTGTCTTAGAATTCCGTTTCAACCTAATTGTATCTTCTGCCTTGGGGTCTGATCAAGAATAGAAGACGGTTTAGAATCTACTTTAACAATACCTCACTCCAACCCCTAGACTGGCTACACCATCACGCCTAATTGGTGTATTTTGTTTAAAGAAACTTTGAAACTTATTTTGATTTTTCAGCCTGGGTGTCCGACCTATTCTCCTGGAGAGGGTTTGTTCCTCTGAGTAAGCTCTCCTACAGCATGTACTTGGTACACAACATCCCCCAAATCGCTGCCGCAGCCGCTGCTCGGGCGCCGCTCAGATTTGACATTTACGGATTAGTAAGTATATAACCAAAATATTTCTACGGATTTGCTATAACATGTACGTCGATGTATAAGTAATTTTTGTTCCAAACTCCAACCAGAAATTTGTTGCAATTCTCTTGCGTCAGACATGTAAAATATATAATGAGAAATTTATGGAAGTCCAAGATTTTTATACTTGTTTAAACCTTATCATTTTTATTATCAATTTAGATATATGCCATGCTGATAAAATGTAGTTTTTCTATTCCATTTCTCTCTACTAAGAATTGTAATGTATCCCAGGTGAGTTGGACGATATCGGACCTCGCCCTGGGTCTACTTATGTCATTGGTTATGTTCCTGTACATTGAGACACCCTGTAGATACGTCTTTAAACACCTGACTGCTGGGAAAACTCAGCACCGTAAGTAAACATTATCTGGTTGCCTTAGCGAAGCCTTATTCCCCTTATTGACTATCTTCGTTTCGTCCCAATACGGGAAGAATGAGCGTACGCCTAGTATATTGATAGTTTAAGTACTACTTGTGTTTTTGATATTTTAGCAAAGATTTCAGAAGATCGTTCTACTAGAAATACTTTTAGTAAAGCCTTGAATCTATGGTACTTTAAACCTCAGTAATGATTACACTTATCAATGAAAAGCATATATAATTTAGGAAAACTATTAACATTTCATTCAGAAAAGGTCACCAAGGATGTTTAGCTTCTTTCAGTAAAAACTACAGATTACTAGTTAGGCTTTAATAGTTTCCGTTGTACCTGTAGTAGACGGATTATGTTTTGATATTTACAGTAAATACTGCAGAATATTAATTATGTGTCGATAGTTTAAGAAAAGACTGTAGAAAATTAATTATTATGATTCTATAGTTTCAAAATACTGCAGATGGCTAATTATTATCATTCAACATTGCATTAAGACTGCTGAAGATTAATTATATACCATTAATTATATTATATTTATTATGTACCATAGTTTTAGTTAAACCTACTAAACTAATTATGTTTCGACAGTTTCAGTGAAGACTGCAGAAGATGTTAAAGATGTCAAGGAAGTGAGTGATTGGAGCTACAGGTTGACAAACCCTTGAAGCAAAAATATAACATTTTAAGATTTGTTTTATTGCAAAATGTGTTGCATGTAGAGTTTCACAAAAAAAGCTCAAAAGTATGCTAAGCCTACTTGATTGGCAAAACCAATTTAAACCACTAAACTCGAGATAAGTTTTATGCTATCTAGTTTTTGAGTTGCTTGGTTTCAATCAATTTTAATACGACGAGTTTGTATTTAGATGTGGGTTGTACTCAACCCCATTTCAACTCTATATCGAAACACATGTTTAAGCTTAGTTGTAAATAAGATAAAAGACGCTTCTATTTATTTATTGTCTACTGGTAGTTACTGCCATCAAATAATGCAGGAAACAGTTATATAATCCTGCAGCACACCTGATTGCTCTTTAGAAATTTGGCATGGCATTGTATTAATGATTGTTTACATGCAGATGCATTAATAAGGCATGAACTTAATAGAGTAATATATGTAAATGTAAGTAAAGTCATTATGGTCAAACTTTACTACTTACTAAAATACAATAAGGCTACAAAGAGGTCCGTGAAGTTAGCCCCCCCCCATAAAAGCACTAACAATTAAATAGTATTAATGGTTAGTGCTTCGTTAGTGCTGGTTAGTGCTTTAACTCCCATCGTTAGTGCTCTTACGGTTCAGGAGCTATAAGCGAAAAACTGTGGGGGGGCCAACTTCACGGAAGTTAGCCCCCCCCAGTAGTAATATGTGAGCACTAACTTTTAAAACTGTACCAACGGTTAGTGCTTCGTTAGTGCTGGTTAGTGCTTCAACTCCCATCGTTAGTGCTCTTACGGTTCAGGAGCTATAACTGAAAAACTGTGGGGGGGGCCAACTTCACGGAAGTTGGCCCCCCCCATAAAAGCACTAACAATTAAACTAGTATTAATGGTTAGTGCTTCGTTAGTGCTGGTTAGTGCTTTAACTCCCATCGTTAGTGCTCTTACGGTTCAGGAGCTATAAGCGAAAAACTGTGGGGGGGCCAATTTCACGGAAGTTAGCCCCCCCCAGTAGTAATATGTGAGCACTAACTTTTAAAACTGTACCAACGGTTAGTGCTTCGTTAGTGCTGGTTAGTGCTTCAACTCCCATCGTTAGTGCTCTTACGGTTCAGGAGCTATAACCGAAAAACTGTGGGGGGGCCAACTTCACGGAAGTTGGCCCCCCCCATAAAAGCACTAACAATTAAACTAGTATTAATGGTTAGTGCTTCGTTAGTGCTGGTTAGTGTTTCAACTCCCATCGTTAGTGCTCTTACGGTTCAGGAGCTATAACCGAAAAACTGGGGGGGCTAACTTCCCCCCCCCCAGTTTTTCGGTTATAGCTCCTGAACCGCAAGAGCACTAACGATGGGAGTTGAAGCACTAACCAGCACTAACGAAGCACTAACCGTTGGTACAGTTTTAAAAGTTAATGCTCACATATTACTACTGGGGGGGGCAAACTTCCGTGAAGTTAGCCCCCCTACAGTTTTTCGGTTATAGCTCCTGAACCGTAAGAGCACTAACGATGGGAGTTGAAGCACTAACCAGCACTAACGAAGCACTAACCATTAATACTAGTTTAATTGTTAGTGCTTTTATGGGGGGGGCCAACTTCCGTGAAGTTGGCCCCCCCCACAGTTTTTCGGTTATAGCTCCTGAACCGTAAGAGCACTAACGATGGGAGTTGAAGCACTAACCAGCACTAACGAAGCACTAACCGTTGGTACAGTTTTAAAAGTTAGTGCTCACATATTACTACTGGGGGGGGCTAACTTCCGTGAAGTTGGCCCCCCCACAGTTTTTCGGTTATAGCTCCTGAACCGTAAGAGCACTAACGATGGGAGTTGAAGCACTAACCAGCACTAACGAAGCACTAACCATTAATACTAGTTTAATTGTTAGTGCTTTTATGGGGGGGGCTAACTTCACGGACCTATAATTAAGACTAGGCTTATTTTAAGACAGAAACGTTCATAATTGTTAAGCCGTTATTTTGTACTTTGTAAATAAACCATATACATACAGATAGCTAAGTCTTAATTACTATCCCTGTTGCAAAAAATGTAGGTTGTAATAGTAGCTTACGCAACGGTTACGTAAAGATAGGGTTTACGATACGAGTAGAAAATTTAAGGTACGAGCCTCTGCGAGTACCTTAAAAATTTCTAGTTGAAGGTCGAATCATTACGATTTTACTTCTTCTCGCCTAATCCTTGAACCTCATTGGTCCGTTACCCGTGTTGTTATGAGTAAAACTATGCTGTTATGTGAACACAGCCAGTTTTATAGTAATAGTAATAGATAGTAAATTATGATTTTTTTAAATAAACAATCCATAAATCAGACATAGGGCTTTTATCATTTTTGATAACATTATATTAATGTTCCTTATTTTTATTTACAAAGAGGTTAAAATAAAAAAAATGTTTTTTAGTTACTATATTTGTTGTTTATGAATTTATCACTTTTCCTGTTCATATTTATTAAACAATCATTTTAGTTCATCACTCAAATAGTGTTAATCTAAAAATGTTAAAATTTACTATTAATAAGGCTCTATGATAATGTCAATGAAAATTAATAAATGTTTTTAATTAATCATGGCCCTTTTCCGTTAAATTACCGTCATTATTACAGTGTTCGTGCTTATAAAGGCTCAGAAATAAAATCAATAAATAGTTTATTTGTTTCTTATAACATTTTAGGTTTGAAACCATACTGTAACAAGTAAAAAGAAATTTCTGTGTTCACCCTAATTGCAAACGTCAAACTAAAACTTATTGCAATAGAAAATAGGAAAATTCCCTAGTTATTTGCCAGTTGTTTCAAGGTAACTACCTACCAGCATTACAAGTGCAAATGCTGGAAATAACTCATTTAAATGAAAACTAGTTTCATCACATGATAGTAACTATATTGCATAATGTTATGCAGGCAATTAGCAAAAACAATATTGTAGGATACAGGATAGGTCAGAAATAATTATTGTTATTGACGAAAGTTGTTCTGAAAAACAGTTGTACTGAGAAACGTTTGATAAATATAGACATTTGTATTTATTATTTATTTAAGTAAAAATATTCAATCAAATATGAAATTACAGTTGAGCATTAGCTGATATTGGCGTAAAATACTGTCTAAGACTATAAAGTAGTTTGGTATTATTAACATTTCGCATTTTTCGATATATTAAAAATCAGTGTTGATATGCATTTTCCAGTTTTCTAGCCAACAAACAAATCAATTCCAAGATATTTTCACTATATGAAACAGTTTTAAAATCAACCAATTTACATACTGTATAATTACAATGGTGATACACATTTTGGTAAGCAAACATAGGCATTGTGTTTGTGTGATGCATTTACTATTGTTAAGACTAAGGGTAAAACAAATACAACACGTACATATATTGTTATATTGTTTTTAACAAAATTTACGTGTGAATTAGTAAGGCCAAAGTAGTAGTACCCTTCTGTTTAACGATGAATGATAATGCTTTTACAAAATAAATACGCACTTCAAAACTCATGCTTAGTATAAATATTATAGCTTTGACTTTTCTTGTATTATTTACCATAATTAATTGCATTTGCTGTCCACAAAATAATTTGCCTGATTATTAAACAACTAAATAAAATAGGAGTATTATTTGTCCATAGCTACGCAATCACATTTTGCCTTATTTTACCTTATTGTATTGACATAAGGCTTATGTGTCAAACTACGAGGTTTAAATGCACAATAATGACATTACTAGACTAAAATATTTTTAGCATTTGTCGCTTTACATCTTTTAACATAATCTTAAAGTTAATTTTTCCTTTTACAACTCATTCAAAGAGTATGTAGTACTTTAAAATATTGCATCTAAGAGAGGATACAAGACAATATTACATTTGCTATTATGTCAGCAGTAACAATACCATGCCTTTTCGTTATTATCAAAATTTGATTTAATTTGGGCTTAGAAAAAGAATGACAGTGATATCGACAAATTTAAATGAATCGACGAAAATAATATTGCATTTATATACAAACCTGAATGGTGGTAGTGTTCAGATCACCCAGCAAACGAACATTATATCCTAAACAATGGTGTAAATACCTGCATTTATGTGATCAATTTGTTGCTAAATTGCAACCGGTTTCGACTCACAAAGGAGTCATCGTCGGGCCAGTACAGATGTCTTCTTGCTTCGTTTTTAGCCCTAAATGTTTGTTTTTACGTTCGTGTACGTGTGCGTGTTAAATGTATTTATTTATTATGAATTGACGACCTTCAAATGAAGCAAGAAGTCATCTCTGTACTGGCCCGACGATGACTCCTTTGTGATTCGAAACCGGTTGCAATTTAGCAACAAATTGATCACATAAATGCAGGTATTTACACCATTATTTAGTATTTAACTGTGATCAGGAGGCTAAAGTTCAATATAATGAACATTATATCTTAATCAAATGGTAAATTTGTTTACCCTTATAACACACACTATAAAGATTCTATCCACAAAATGTTTTGAAAATCACTTTTACTTCTTTGTAGATTAATCAACGTCCTAAGATTTGTTCAGTAGTACATTCCTGACCAGTTTACAATGGCTCATAAAATTGCATCCTTGCGTAGGCCTATCTTTTGTCTTTCTTACCGCACTTCTCGAAGCTATAAAGTAATCGGTTAGGCACTAACAATGAAGTCTCACACGATAGATTCTAAGTTTCGTTAAGGGTCTTGTTAAAGTTTTTCTTTCGGTAGACGTTAATTGACATTTTCTGGAATATTTTTAATTTTTTTACACTTAGGTTGCAAATAGAGTTTGCATAACATGTAGTAATGCTATGCTTGCAGTTGGCCAAGTGAATAGGTTATAGCTTTTAAAAAAAAATAAATTAAATATTTCACTGATTTATGAATCAAGTTTACTCGTGGAAACTGTTTGTAAGGTTAAATCTACACGGATCCTACTACAAAGACTATAGTTGTAACACTTTTGGTACTATCAAAAACAATGTAATATGAAAGCTGTTCTCTTTCTCCGCCACATTTAACACTTTTGATAAGAAATGGAATATCCATAGAAATTTTAGTATAGTTTTACTAATATTTTTACTCTTTGAAACCACTCTAAAACAAACTCTTAAAACAAACACTTTAAAACATTCAAGTATCGTGTTGCTTTTAGAAGTAAACAAATAACAACTTATTTCTGTAGTTACATATATCGGAAATCGTTTGCATTTTCTTGCAAGAATGCTGTTCTTTACTAAGAATATATATTTTACTGGCAAAGTACGCGTATGTAATCAGACATTCTATAGAATTACTAGGAGATCTAGACAATGTCAGAAATGAATCAGGAAAAGTATATAAAAAATCTCATTATATACTTTGCTTTGTCATTCTATGGAATGCCTGGCAAACCTTACGCTGGTGTAAGACTTTTAAGACTTCAGTTTTCTTGTTTGCCATTAGCCTATCTAATCTAAAATAAACTAACCCCTAACCATACACAAAATATTTC